AATAAAATTAAAAAGTGAGCTTAATCCTGTTCACTTTATGACTACTTGACATTGCTAGTATTAGGGTTGTTTATATTTTTATACTTGTTAATTTCCTTCTTTACAAATTATATTTTTACTAGATCTTCTAGTTAATTTTAATTGATGGAATTTCTCAAAAAAATCCATATTGGTGACTATTATTGTAATGCTATTGTACACGCATCACGAATTATACCCTCACCTCGTTGCATAATCTTTTCTTGTGACAGTCTAAAGAAAGGTAAAAATTAAGCTCACCTCATCTTATGACTGCCTGGAAATTGAGGTTGCCAGGCGTCGGATTGTTCATAAACAAAAAAGGTATAGAGCCTCTTGAAATTACATTTGTGAAATAGATACCTATATATATTTTATATCTAGATAATTTAAAAAAAATCATCTACGTGTTTACGTTTGCTAAAATTTATTACCTACCTTAACAATGTTTTTGTGACTTCATATTAAAAAAGTTCAAATTGAAACTAAATGATTCAAAATGAATGTGTAGTGTGTACAGGGAATTTGTTATTTAAAATATTCATTGTTCTAAATCTTGAATTAGAATCCATGATCAACACTTTTAAACTGGATTTTTTATTATTTCACATAGAAAATATTTTATTTCTAATTGGTTTTTCTCCGGGTTTTCCGATAAAGTTAATTGATAAATAGGTATATCGCTGAGTTTTCTGGAAAATTCCTTTTCTAAATATAGGTATAAATATAATCTGCATAAGAAAGAACGTATTATTACCCAACCTTGAAAGATATTTTAGTAAACTTAGTAGCTTTTATGATCAGAAATTCCTAAATACCTACTTTTTCAGAAGAAACAATTTTTTGTTTAAAATTCTATTTATGGAAATAGTTTCTTGGAATAATCAGTGGCGGCTCGTTGCCTAGTCTACGGGGACTAATTTTGAAAGGTACTTAAGATATAAAACATTTATCAAAAATTACCAAAGCACTTTGGTGATCCAATGAGTAGTATTCCTTTAATTTAGCATACTTTTTATTTATCCTAATAAGTACTTGTGTCTTGTGTATCAATGTCATGTTAGTCATGTGCTAGTAGGTAATATATTTGTCACATTCATATTCTAATTTATTGAAACACTTGTCTAATTCGTTAAACACATATCCACTTTTTTATTATACACTTTTGCCTTGAAAATCATATTGTTTTATGAACCCTTAGAACAGTTGTCTACCTAAGGTTAAAATCGGATTTAACATGGAATTTTTCAGTCAGCAAAAGTCTGGGAAAAATTAGATTTTAAAATAGGTTGTACATTATTCACCATGTTATAAAAATACCCTAAGGCCTAACCTAATCACTATATAAGCACCCGCTGGTGTAAACTATGACAGGAACACAAGATATTCTCAACTCAACCCAACAAAATGTTTTTATACCGCATACCTAAATAGGGTATTCCCAAAGTAATATTCGATGCTTCCCCAGAGCTGAGAATTTAGATTTTATGGTATATCTGTCAAATGACTTAATTGTAAAATGTGTTGCATACATGTTGAATACTTAAAACATATTCTTGAATGCCTACATTTGAAATTAAGGTCAATAAATCTATTATATAATACTACAAATATACTTTAAAGCAGTATATGTGAGAAAAATATTGTTTCTAAAAATCGGTAGATGAGATCGAAAATTGAAAAAATCGAAAATATGTAAATTGGCAATGCTGATTAAGATAATAAACAGACTCACTATATAGACTAGAGCGTGGAACAAAGACCTCAAATTTTCGTAGCTGTGTTGCGTGTTAAAATTACGTATCTACGACCTCCAAGCGCAACAATGCGGAAATTTTTTGTGTCGGCGAAAAGGTTAATATGCAAAAAAGGATACGAAATGCCAAAAGGTGGGTTATTTGTTTGAAATAGGTGCAAAATCTTAACGAAAAGTCTAAATAAAGGTCCATTCGTTCTAAAAATGTTTGCGATAATTTTTTATTTAGTAAGACAATTTGAACATTTGATTTAAAAACAGTTTTGATTTTTTTGATTGTAAGCATGATATAACAATTATTTTTTTTTAAGAATGTGATTTTTTTCATACACCGTTGTAAAGAGGCTTCAAAGACCTTATAAATGAAGTATCAACTCCTCTTCCCTATTCAATTTTAAGGGGTTGAGGCGCCTCCTCATAGGGGGTTGCTCGTTCAAGCCTCAAATATACGTCAAAAGATGTCTCCCAAAGAAAATCATCCGACATGTTTCGGGAAATTTTTCCAATTACTATGGGATAAAAAATATACAGGGTGGCTCGTCTGAGATGGAAAACCCTGTATGTAATGTGTTATGTCTAACCACATATATTATATAGTAGGGTCCAGACGCGCCGTACGAGATTTCTAAACGCACTGATGTAGTCTATAAAAAATATTTAAAGAATATAACCTAATATTTAAGTCGAAAGCTGTTAATATTTTGACATGGCACAATTTGGGTTAAAGAAAAGAAAAAAGATAGGCTGATATTAAATTATATGTATTAAAAATTACTAAACATTCATGGTAAAACTCCTAAAGTAATAATAAACTCATAAAAACTATCAAAAGTCAATATATAATTTCCTAAGGACTCAGACCCCTTGTATAAAATGTCTTGGTCAGGTACCCTCAAGTGTTTTGTTTCCAATCAATGTAACCTTGTTTTATCTTTGTCTTATTTGCTGTACCTATGATAGACTGGGGAACGTCATATGTACTATCATAATAGTTTCTTCTATATCATCTACTTCGACCTCTTTATCAGAATAGTCCTCTCCGCTGGTTTCTTTCACTAAAACTTGAGAAAAAGTTATGATAATCATCATCATCTCTCTCTGTATCTATAACGTGTGGAGGGTGGGTTACCCTCACGGCACTTTAGGCCTCACTAGGTCCATTGTGAATCCTCCTAAAATGATAGGTACCTCCTAGCTCGTGAGCCAGCCTACAGATTTGATGTAGTTGACAACGTCGCCAAGAGGTGCTTCTTTTATATCGGCCGGTGTTAGCAGATACTCGCCGAACACAAACATTCTAAAAAATGAGAGCGTCGAGCAATTGTAAAGGATATGATCGATGGTCGCATCTTGTTCGCACCTCCTGCGGATTCTGACAGCCCCATGATATGGAGATGCTTCCGTTCTTGGCAATGACCAGTCAGAATGCCTGTGACTAGGCGCAGATTCTGTCTAGTCATAGTCAAGTATTTGTTTGCTGCAGTGTTGTCAGCATAACTTAAGAGCATTCTGGCAACTCTGCAATTTCTTGTTTCACCACATCTTGCCTTGAATTTCACTGGGAAATATTCTTTTAATTGGGTCTGTCACTACCGATTTTGTCAGGTCCAAAAAGTATTTGGTTGGCTGCTTTCTTGGCTAGTGAATCAGCAAGATGACGGTTACCTTTCGATGTGGCGTGACCTTTATTGATTCATCCTAAGGTGACCACATTGTTGATGGATACTTCGCCCAAGGCTTCGTGACATTCTAGTACTAACCCTGAGTAAATTTGTGGTCTGTTCAGGGTGAATAGTGCTTGTCTGCTATCTGTATATCATCATCATCATCATAGGACAACTATTCATCATTACTACCACATAAATCTCGAATAACAACAGTTTTAAAACCATAAAACCATTTCTGATCTCCCTAAAAAAATAAAGCATATGTAAGCCAGAGTTACCTGAACCCCAAATTGTACCGAATATGGTACAAGGAAATAAATGACATGTAGCGGACAGGCATATAAGTCAAAATGCATTTTTTTTACAAAAATCAACTATACACGCTTACCTAAAAGTAGATATTTTTAGTTTTAGTAAATTTCTTTTTAGAAATTTTGGTCCACTGAAACAATGTAAATAATACGTCCTTTTACGTATTTGCCAACGACTGAAGAAAAATTACATAAATTAGAAAATAAGAGGCATAGGGTGACAATCTTTCTGGAACGTAGAGAAGCGAGTGTGCCAAATATGGAATAGATTGAGTTGGCGGTTTAAAATCAGTGTATGTATTTAAAAATATTATTTTTATCACGTTCCAAGTTGGGCACAGTGTGCATTAAGGGGTTAAATTAGACTAATTCGACATTTTTTCCCGAAATCCCGGAGTGAATATGCTGAATGAGGTAAAACTACTGGATATAAAATGCCCGCAAGGTCAATACTCTTACTTGGGAGTTATACAAACATGGTAAGAGCAATTAAACCTCTTTTCTACTTTTGATTCCGATTTTACACCATTTTAAAATAAAACCTGCCAATTGCGAGTCGACTCGCGCATTAATGGTTCCGCACTATCGTACAAGATTTAATACTATATAGGTACTTTTTAAATACTTCAATAAGATCGAGCAAAAAAAGCCAAAAGCAAAAACACGTTTTTAGTAGGGAGAGCCCTTTCAATTTTACTATTTGTTATAACGGCAACAGAAATACATTCTGTGAAAATTTCAACTGTCTACCTATTACAGATCACGAGATACAGCCCACTGACAGAGAGACGGACGGACAGACAGCGGAGGTTTAGTAATAGGGTCCCGTTGGTTACCTTTCGTGTACGGAACCCTAAAAACAGGCAACTTTTCGGTTACAAAATCCTTTTTTGCAAATTAACCCTGTCGCTGACACAAAAAAAAATCCGCAATATCATCGATAAAGTGTTTTGGCTATATCCCGAATTTCGTTGAAAAAAAATTAAATATCTGGTTATGTGGCCGGTATTCAACTACTTATAAGGTTTGACAGTTTCAGCTACACCACCCTCCCATTTGTAAAACCATTCCCCCTTACATTTTAGGCCTGAGTATGGCCTATAGTGACCGAAACTAGCCGCCGCATCAAATAAATTTGTTTATAACGTTCTGTGGTAATCAATTTAGTATTTTCTTTCCTATATATGAAAATTGTCACATTTGTGGAAAGTCTATTCTACTTAATTTTAATACAAACTTCTTTTACAGGTACATTTTCGATAATCCTGCACGTGACGGCGTTGGATGCGGTAACTCCATTCTTAGCAGCAATAGAAATTCTAACGATCAACAACAAAACCTGGATCTTTTCTCAAAACATGTGCCCCATTTACAACGGAGCAGAAATCCTTATAAACTGTCTCCAATTATGGCTGATAATCTGCATAAATTTCCACGTAATATCACTATGGAATTTACACCAAAACGAGTCAAATCAGAAAACCAAAAATCCGTTAACGTGCTGTCAAGATGAGTCAAACGAATGTTTGGTATCGAGACGGGAAAGTACAAGGGTGATCAATATCGATTATAGAAGAAGAAAAGAAGACATATCCGTTGCAATACCATGTATTTTAATCTGGTTTTTTTGTTTATCGTTGAGCATACCCAACTTTACACTTTCATCAACGTTAAGAACCAAACAAGACCACGTGATATGTGCTGTAGTTGACAATTACTACGGGCATCTTATCCAAATATTAATATTAGTCTTCAGAGTAATACTACCTTTCCCCCTTTTACTATTTTCACTTATTTGTATCATACTAAAGCTAACCAAATCATCTCTAACAGAAATTAAAAATATTCTAACCAAAGATTTCTCCGAGATACGCGTTTTGCTGATATTCTGTATTTGTTTAACGGTATTGTATATGTGCACGTCGTTTCAAAGAAGTTTATTTCATTTTTTGCACATAAGTTCTGAGGATTTTTACAACTCGACCGAAACGTTTAAAGTTCCGCCTCTGTACAATACCCAATTGAACATTTCCAATAATATGAGTTTAACTATGCTGCATTATAGCTGCAACAGTCTGAGAGCGGTGCTGTTGTTTTATCTGTTGCCAAAATTCAAAGATTTGCTTAGAAAAAAAGTTTTTGTGTGTTTCTGAATAATGTAAGATTCATTTTGTGACAATTAAAAGAATGACATTTGTGGCATCACTGACATTTGACACAAACTTTTAATGTGCAAAGATATGTATGTATATAAATATGTACAGGTTATTTCAGAATAATAAACTTGTAGAATTTAACTAATTAATAAGAAAATCTACATATAATTTTCCTGTAAGTGTCCCAGTTTTCATTCTACAGGGTGATAAAATGAATTTCATAAATGCATAATTTTCTAAATATCTTAAAAATTTGTATATGTTAGTGAATCGTCATTATTAGTTAAATACACTCTTTTGACAAATTTCGATAACCCATTGGCGTGGAATCAAGGGTTGAGAAAACAATTTTAATTCAAATTTGGATTTTACATTAATGAATTGATTTTGCAGCACTTGTAATGCTGAAAACCCGATTATTTTTATTTGAAAAAAGGCGTTAAAAGCTTAAAAATATAAAGGAAAGGAACATTGTAGTTTTATTTAGTTTTAAATATAAATTAAATTAAAAATGAATTGTAGCAATAATACGAAAAATTTAAGATAAACCATATTTAAAAAACAACAGAGGCGCATTATAAAATGTTGTAATCTAAATGAATGACTTTACATTAAAAGTTAACTTTTTATAAGCAATAAGAACACATTTCAAAAATACCAATAATTAAATATGTAATACTGGCATAATTTGCATTGATTCAATAATATTGGGACTTCATAGTAGGCGTTAGATAAATATTGTTTTTAGGCCGAATCAGGATAATTTGGTAGAATTGTTGCACGTGGTATTATTATGTAGTAGTAGTGTCAATAGAAATAACTATTTTAAATATTTTATGAGGTGGTGTTTGAGACTAAAAACATGGGAAGAAAAAAGGATTGTCATTTTAAAAGAAATAATTTTAAAACCAGCTGATTTAATTTAACTAGGGCCAAAACAATAAATACTTGTATAAATAAAACATGTAGGTACGATTAAATTAATAGTTTTTCTCTAAAAATAAAAAATGTATAAATTATTGTGTTCTTGCATTTATTATCATTATTTATCATATTGTTTTATTTTAATAAGGTAGGCTTATTATTTTATCTGTTATTCAGTTTTGTAGATATTTCTGTGGATAGGACTCTTCGTATTTTAATCATTACATCTTTATTTCAGATTCAATTTTAAAATTTAAATTTTTATTATATTTAGAAAAGATGGAACTACATTTAGATCGTCTCATTTCAAAAATAATATACTAATTTGTGAGGTAAAGTTGGGTTATTTTTAACAATTTTATTGAACTTCAAATTTTTTATGACTTAACCCTTAATATTTTTATTAAAAACTTCTGTAAGATGATAGTTCCATCCTTCATCTTTTGGTAAAAAAAATCAGTGAACTATATTGATTATTGTGCTGTGTAGAATAAAAACCAAATACTTGTGAGCAGTGCAATAGCTCTTAAACATTTTTGAAAATTACAAAAATAAAATGTGCCATTATTGTTTCCCTAAAATTAAATTCAACCTATATTGGCGTACTATTTAAAATATGGCAACTGTTGAGTCTTTTTACATTATTCAATAGTGGCATAACTTCAAATGTGCCATTATTGTTTAAATTATAATGTTCAATCTATCTTAGCGTAATATTTAAAATATGCCACTATTGCGTCAATTTTATGTTATTCACACTGACTTATTGCGCCGGTATTGCCGAGTTACCATTGGCAAACACGCGAAATTCAATTGTGTAACTATCTATCTAGCGGTACCAGAATGAGATAAAGATATGTGTCACTATTGATGATTGTTAAAGCAAAAAATTGTTAAGGTGTAATTTACTGAAAATGGCGATTTTTTTTGAAATGTGTCTCTACTGCACACAGTGAACGTTTTAATCAACGTTGTATATATTATAAGACTATTTTTTATAAAATTAGGTTGCAGAAAAAACTTATTTCCGAGAAAAACACGTCTAAAGATCTCCCGTTTAATAAACGGAAATAATAAAAACTGTAAGGTTGTAGAAAATGTTTATTATTATGACATTACCGTAAGTTTAGGAATAGTTACAACAAAACATATAGGAAAGGAACAATATAATTGTTTCCAAACCTGTATACTTACCTTTTTTCACAAAATGATGTTCCTATAAATACTATTAATAAGACTAAAGAAAAAGTAAACTAAACCAAAATGTTCAATTATTTTTAAGTATTTACTATGTACATAAAAAATACTGTTATACTTCAAGACTTCTTATGCTTAAGATCTAGAATAAACCTGACCATTAGAGAAGTCTATTTTTATTTTTTGTTAAAACCTTAACACCCAATGGCCCCATTCCAACTCCGCTAAGAACTGTTGTAATTCGTCTGTAAAGGCATCACGACGTACTTTATATCACGATTTTGCGTTTTTCTCAACACTTCGGCAGCATGTTGTAACTGCAATGCGCAATCCGGATGCGCGCTACCTGGTAACTGCAAGCATTCTTGATCGAAAATGTAGGCCAACCCGTTGAGTAATTCTAGGAACCCTAAGGAAATGGCTGCTTTGCGTAACCTGTTCAGCTCCTAAAACAAACATTTAGCATGTCAAATACTGATACAATTTAGATTAGAAATTTCTAGAAATACACAAAAATGTATAAACAGTAAGGAAGGTACGGAATTTTAACAACGGGGTGATGAGATACAGGGTTTAATGTCTTCCTGTACCTTTGCATTCAACTTATTCCCAAGACTATAGTGGACTGCTTACCAGAATAGGTACTGAGTTTCTTTGTCGTCACAGATTAACACCATTTAATGATATTTTTCTATTACATCACAACAAATACACTATTTACATGTTTAGTATGCCACTAACTTTGTAAAATGTATCACACGTTGCCTATATTTTAATTTTTTATCAAAATTGACGCCTTTATCAACCACATTTTTACAACGACAGAGAAGCAGATATTGCGCCGTCGAGGGAGAGAGCTCGTAGAAGATTTGGTGGACTCCAAGTGTTAGTTGCATTTACGTTTTGAAAGCAAGCATCTACGTGTCTCTATGTGGATTGCCTAATGACCTCAAGAGAATCAAATGTGCTTCAGGGTTGGTTTTTAAGATTTTTGAGCCTAGATACTAACAGGTTTGTTGTTTCATGTTTTAATATGTTGAATGTTTCAACACGGAGGGTTATACTTTTCAATAAATTCAACAAAGTATAATAGAAATATATGCATATAACAAACAGACTGCGTCTAATGGGACGAGCAGAAGTTGAAATCGTGCAAACGCTCGTTGACAGCAGGACAGCGGTCTCTGTAATGTACACGTGTCTATAGTTTGTTAAAATATGTCTCCCGTTTTCAAATTTACGTATCTTTATAAATGAACTCAGATAAAACCGTTAGTCTAAATCTGGGGTCACTGGCAACAATCTTTTAGGCTAAATAACATCAATAAATTCATCTGCCTGTGTTAGTCCATCTGTAACTGTAATGTGTGGAGGGTGGGTTACCCCACGGCACTTAGGCCTCATTAGGCCCATTGCGCATCCTCCTGAGAAGATAGGCACCTCCTAACTCGTGAGCCAGCCTACAGATTTAATGTAGTTGACAACGTCGCCGAGAGGTGCTTCTCTTATATCGGCCTGTGTTAGCCGATACTCGCCGAACACAAATCTTCTAATAAATGGAGATGCTTTCGTACTTGGCAATGACCAGTCAGAATGCCTGTGACTAAGCGCAGATTCTGTCTAGTCATAGTCAAGTATTTGTTTGCTGCAGTGTTGTCAGGATAATTTAAGAGCTCCCTGGCAACTCTAAAGTTTCTTGTTTCATCACATCTTTCCTTGAATTTCACAAGGGAATGTTCTTTGATTAGGTCTGTCACTACCGATTTTGTCAGGCCAATAGAAGGGCCAGGTCCAAAAAGTATTTGGTTGGCTACTTTCTTGGCTAGTGAATCGGCAAGACGGTTACCTTTCGATGTGGCGTGACCTTTAATCCATCTTAAGGTGACCATGTTGTTGATGGATACTTCGGCCAAAGCTTCGTGAGATTCTAGTACTAACCCTGAATAAAGTCGTGGTCTGTTCAGGGTGAGTAGTGCTTGTCTGCTATCTGTATAGATGAGCATGTTCCTTCCAGTGATATTGTTTCTGGTTATTTCTTTTGCTGCTATGAGCTCTGTTTGAACTACACTGGCACTATTGCTCATATCCCATTTTATGTTTAGGTTTAAGAATCTGGAGTATATTCCACATCCTGAGCCTTGTTTTGTTTTAGAACTGTCGGTGTAGATATGAATCGTACCTGCCACTTCTGGCTCTTCTATTTGTTCTATTATAACTTTATATGGCTTATGAAAGATATATTTTGGTGAGATGGAGTCCATGTTCGCTTGAAGCAGTCGGAGCGTATCCAGCGCCTCCTGCCAAAAGTGACGACTCGCCTCACCAGATTCTACATCAGGTTCTATTCCGACCGTGCGGAGGCGTGTCACTGTCGTCAAAGCAACCTCCTTGATGTAAATATCAAGGGGAGTGGGACTAAGAATGTGCATGTTAAACTAATGATAAATTAATCTCTTGGAGGTAAGATAATTTTTGTTATGACAGACAACCAGGAAGCCCCTAAAATACTGCAAAGGGTGAACATACAATCCAAAGTAATATTAGACTGCCAACAATCTCACTAGACCCTGGCAGAACATGAGGTCATGCTTCAATGGGTTCCGGGATATGAGGGAGCATTAGGAAACGAAAAAGCGAACCTTCCCTAGCCAGGAAGGGAGCTGAAAAAACTTTAACTGGACCAGAACACACATGAGATATTTCAAATACACGTGTTAAAGGGGTAAATAGGTAACTGGTAAAAAGAGAACACCATACGCAATGTTTAGAAGTTTTTGGACTCTGGTAATCCAGAATATTAAAGAGCAAAAAGATCCACTGCTAAAACTTATCAGGAAAGAACTCAAGGTCGTAATAGGACTCTTTATGGAACATTGCGGCTTTAGAAGACACCTAAATCTCTTAAGGCTATCTCATGTAGAAAATATGAAGAGAAGGACGACTCTCCCATTTACATAATATGCCATTGCCAAAACCTTAAATGAGAACGGGAATGGCAGTTAGGGGTACCTGTAATATCTTGAACGTGTAGTAATCGCAAAAGCGCCTATCAAGTATACTAACCTGAAGGGGTAGAAAGAAACAGAAGGTTTTGATAAATAGATAGGATGAAACAATATTAGGTAACAACTTAGGTCAAGAAGGCAAGAAAATATCACAATTGAAAATGCCGAGAAATGGTGCAGGTAAACCATTGATGAACTCAGAGATAATAGGAAATATCGTGCTGTCGTGAATGACATAATCTAAGAGATACAGGCGGGTATAATATTCGCTGTTGTCGTGGGTATTTCATTATTTCGTTTTTTTTACAAAATTATTTACATATCTTAAAATAGCTAAAATAATTCAACATATTTTATTGCAATTGAACCCAAATTTCTTAAATAATTCGTTATATAAAATTTAAGTAAATTAGATGAAATTTCACTAAATTAGATGTAATAATTGTCAGTAAATTTCAAAACCTAGTTAATGTTAAGTTGAATATCAAGTATTTTGTACTAAAAACGGCAACATGGCTTGCATTTTATACGTTGTTTATTATGAGTGTACACAACGTCTTACACATATATTCATTGATTAAATTGTTTAGTACAGCCGTCAAATCCTTCATATTTCCCTTCCCATACCTCACACCACATGTCTCTTCAATCCTGGTCTACAACTGGACCGTATCGATGCCGACTTCACGAATACTATATTTTATCAAAGAATAGCTATATTTCCTGTTATCTCTGGATGAACTGATAAAGACGTGACACCATTAAGGCCCAATAGTTTGATCTGCTTATCCTTGCTAGCCACTTTTTTTATATCTTCATCCTCTTTCCTTTTATCGGTGTTGTATTAGTATGTCTGCATTCTAGCATAGCGCTTACATGTCCTAGCCACGTCAGTTTGAATTTATGGTGTTGAGAATGGTCACGGAAAGGTAAATTAATCGTTGGGCGCCAAAAATAATTGCGGTAACATTGAACCATGCACTTAAGCCAAAGAGTATAGTTAACACAAGAGATCACACTTAAATGTCAATCGCTCTAAAAGTCGGTGACCTTGAAAATTCAAACTATTTTACGCGGGTAAAATGTATCTAATCTAATATAACCTAGCTTTCTGATAATTTCTCTTTTTCGTTTAAACATTTATTTGTAATCGAATTTTGTTATAGATTTGTATTTTTTAATACAAATTACATCATGAAGGTCTGTGCAGTGAAAAACTGCAAAAATATTAATCATTTTTCTAGATGTCATGTTTCTCATGCGACAACAACCAATGTTCTGATTGGTGATGCCAGACTTGTCAAAAATACTCCAGACCAATAGGGAGGAGGCATCGAGGTCAACATTATTTTAAAAACCAAAAAATTATAAATTTTGTAATAACCACACCAATTTTGTCTTCACGTGGCTTAAAACCTGAATATTTTTAACTTTTAGATGTAATTTTTCTCAGCAACCAACGTGCTGATTGGTGACCGCAGACTTGTCAAAAATACCCCAGACCAATAGGGAAGAGATACCGAGGTCACTGAGATTTGAATCAGAAATTAACATCGGAAGTATAGGGAGTGACAGACCTGTGCTTAAGCTTAGGTTTCGATAGTGGATAATCAACAATGACGAATGAAAATCTACAATACGCATTTCTTACCTTATAAAATTGTTGAGTTTTCTCCGGCAACTTCCTAGCATGTCTTAAAATCTTCTGGATGTCAGACTGCAAGCCGGCCTGTCTAATCCAAACTACTCCGTTTTGGGAATAACTCCGTTTCTCTATCGGCTTTACGGGAAAACTTCCAGCTTGGTCCGGCGTAAAGGATTCTCCTGATCCTAAAGAATTTAAATCACCCAACCATGGTACCGCGTCCGCTCCGGGAGTAAGAAGGGTCAACATTAAGTTTGACTTCTTTTTCGAATCCGCCCAGGAATATACGAACCCAAACCAGTTTTCGCCTTAAAAAATACATTTTATGTGTAAATTATGAAATTCGTTAGATAGGTAACTTACCTATATTGACAAGTGCTGCCATATTCTCAACTCTTAAAGCGCCATGAAGCAGAACGCAAAAGGACGGTATCCTGGCTTCGTCAGTTGCATCGTCCTCGATGATTTCCAAGTCTGCGGTGCTTTTTTCTTGTTTTTTGGGAGAACTTGCTTTCGTCGGAGAACTGGCTGGCAAAATCAGATGTCGACTAATTGCCATAGGAGAGCCCACGTCTGCGACGCCAACGAACCCGCACACTTCTATCAATTCTGACATATTGTGCGTTTGGGTGTCAAAGTCCGTAACTTGTGTGTATGGCTACAAATATGTTTATTTAATAAAGATCATAATGACAGTCATTATAATGGGTGTCCCACAATATTTTGTTGTTTTTAGAGAGCGCTACTTTGGCAACGTTAAATATAAGCGCCACGACTCTGTATTTGCCAGGTCGAGGAAGGTTGTAACAATACCAGGTTTCAGCAAGATGATGCCACGGCCCACACCACCAGAAGATCTTTGGCAACGCTACTAGATATTTTTTCAGAGTGGAGTGACATCCGTTGGCCCCCAAGAAGTCCTGATTTGACCCCCCTGGATTTTTTGTAAGGCTGTCTAAAGTCCAAGGTGTACGAAACACCACCACGCACTCTGGGGCCTTCAAATTGCGAATTCAGGATAAAACGCTATTCCAGAGGAATTAATACGAGCTGTTTATTACAATTTAAGGTCCAGACTTCAAGAATGTGTTATACGGGAAGGAAGCAGCGGCGGCGCGTGGTTCAATACTCTGGGGGTGCACAACGTAAGATACAAAAAAAATTGGGTGCCACACAACCACGTCCAAAAATATTCTTTAAGCGCTATCAAACCGTCAATCTGGGTTAGCAAATTAAAGGATCTTATTAAAAAATTAAAAATTAATAACTTACCCTGCTGTCTCTGATGAATACTTCGGCCTTGCCAAAACAATTGTCTTTATAGATATAGGAATAATAGTTTTTATACTTCACAAACACGTTTTGAATTGAAAATCAATACGTCTGTCCTTTTTCGAGATAAATGCATCAATAACTAATTCATTAAAATTTGGGATCTCTTGAATCATTTGTTTCTCAATAGATAACATTGCGAGGGCAGTTAACCTATTTTCACCCATTGTACTTCTAAGAAAAGTTTTTATTCGTTTTAATGTGGAGAAACAACGTTCCGCTTCTGCGGTTGTCATGGGCATCGTAACAATTGCTTGTAGCACTAAAAACGTCTCTGAAAAATCTACTTGCAAATTATTTTCAATTAAAAATTTAAGTAGGTGGACTGCTCCTGAAACTTCTCTAAAATCTGATCTTCTGTATATTATTTCCAGTTCTGTCTTCAATTTATGCTTGTTCAAAAAAGGAAAATTCATAATCGCTGAATTTAGGTTTAGTATGGGAAAATTCGTTGAAAATGTATCAAAATTATCAACTGAAAATAAGTGCGCTATTTCCAGATGGCCAGTGAATGAAAATCTTCTTTTGATTTCTGCAATTATAGTGTCACATACCTCCTTGGCTTGCACCACCGTAGAAACATAAGAATGTCTATCTTCTGTCTTTCTTCTTTTCCTAGCTTGATTGTCATCAATGTTTGCTAACTCAGTTTCTTTAATAGTATGTATATTATCTCGTTCTTTCTGAATATTTTGCTCAAACTCAGTAATGCATCTTTTTACGGTTACTGAATCAGCAGCTCTTTTTTGCAGCTGTGAATATAAAATGTTGACGTGGGGCATTATACGATGAAAAACTGACAACCAAAAAATAAACTTAGGATCATGCAATAATCTTAAAAGTGCGTCTGCCTTCGTGATGGTATCAGATTGTCTGGATGTAGATTGTATTTTTTCCATACACGCTATAAGGGACTCCCGGTTTTCATATACTGTATTAACGGTTCTAATTTTGAAGTTCCACCTGGTAGCAGATGCTCTTGGAACTCTATTTCCAACCACTTCATCCAATATGGCAACTCTTTGTGGAGAGTTGGAAAAAAAATTGGTAATGTCACTCAGTTCGGCAAAAAAAATACGTGCATTCGTATTTATGCTTGTTGCCTGAGACATTATCAAGTTTAATTGGTGAGCATAGCAATGAATATAATGGGCGTATTTAAATTTATCTTTAATAAGTTTTTGTACACCACCATGAGCGCCACTCATGACGCTTGCTCCGTCATAACTTTGGGAAATCAACTGATCAGGATTTCTTAAAACATAATTTAACGCTTCTTCTATGCAGCGAGCTAAAGCAACAGCATCATGTTCATTCGGTTTTACAAAAGTCCAAAATCGTTCAACGGGGCTGCCGTTCGGTAAAGTATAACGGTAAACTATAACCATTTGGAAAATATTGGAAATATCACTTGTTTCGTCACTCATAATGGACACAAATTTCGAGGCGGCAATTTCTTTTTTGATATGTGCCTGACACACGAAAAGAATACATTCCAATAAATCGTTTTGAATGTCTTTTGATGTACCTTTAAACACAGTAGCTTGCTGCAAATGATCCCTCAGTGCTAAATCCAGTTCGGCAGAAAAATTTATAAGTCCTCTAAATATACCAGGGTTCACAGAATCTTCTTGTTCATCATGTCCACGGAGAGCAAGCTCAAAAGCACCACAAAATTTTATACAGTTTATAATTTTAGATAAAACATACCTATTTTTCTTTACTTGGTCATTATGTTTTTGAATGCTTGATCGATATGCACTATTTAATTGTTGTCGAATATCTTGTTTACCTAATAAATTATATCCTAATTTAGCAGATAAATGTGACTTTGAATTTTGATGTTTTTTAATTTTTTCGGATAAATGTATTAAATCTCTAACGCCAGATTTTGTCCATTCTGATGCCTCGTCGCTTCCAAATAATAAACAAGGAAAGCAGTAAAGACTGTTACTCACATCACACCCGCACAACCAGTCAGTTTTTTCATAAGTATCTGTTTTAAAAGTACGTTTATATTCACGACTTTTGCATTTAGTTACATTCGTAATTAATACACTTGGTTTCGGACGCCCAACACTTTTAATTTTTATTTTTTCTTCTAAAGGAAGGGAAGGAAAATTAATTGTCTTTAAATATTGCACGCTAATGTCCGTCATTTTAACAAAATTCCCGTTTCGACAGCGCGACACCGATTATTACGCTCCCCACGCAAGCTACAAGTGCACAAATTTTATGTGCACGCGTGCCAGTAGAAACATCGAACGTCACACTAGACTGCCGCGGTGAGGGAGGGAGAAGATTGACCAATCGGATCGAATATTCCGATGTGCAGTGTACGAAGATATCGCGGCGGGCGTCGTGCAAAGCGAACGGCTGTATTTTTTTTTCTCGGCTGGATTTCTCACGTTACGCATAGCGTCTTGCGATTTAGAGTTTTGTTTACGAAATAATTGATCGTTTTTTAAATAAAAATAATTATTAAAATAATGACAGGACAGAATCACAGGATTTAACTAGTTTTTTTTTTCAAGAGGCATTAAATTTGGGGGTGCACGTGCACATGTGCACTTATTGAGGAACCGCCGCTGGAAGGAAGACATCTGGAGAACATTATTTTTAAGAAATTAAAATCCGCGTTTATTATTAACATTTTCACAATAAATTTAATATATTTTAGACAAAAGCATTTGTTTTATTTCAGTTGTAAAACAGCAAAACATTATGGGACACCCTTTATATGGTATCAGTAACTGAGTGTGCCCTAATGATTGTTTATGGTCCGAATTACATGAAACATGTTATATTCTTAATTGAACATATTGTATTAGAAAGAGCCATTTTACAATTTACATCATAGAAATTTAGGTTGAAATCGTCACCTACCGTTCACGTCCGACTTTTATTAAGGTATTATGTGGCCGCCTTATAAAACAAAACAACTACTTCCAAGGATTTATGCTCAACCGGACATTGATTGGTATGCGTTATGTGTGCTCGCGATCGAATCAGTCAGTACAACAAACCCCTTGATTTGGAATTTTGACATTCTACAACCGGTTTCGCCCTAATTGGAGCTCACCTTTACGAAGTTTGAATATCCATGCAATCTTTATTCAAATGTCCAACTCAAAGTCATATAGTAATCTACTACATACGGTATCGGGAAAACGAATACCTTCTAATATCTCTTGGCACAAGTGTGAAATAGAGAGCCAGCACTAGGGCAAGCAGGAAAGAAACAAAACCAGCGACGCCAGCCTATACGGCCTGGCGAACGTTACAACGCGATCAGGTTGTATAAATTCCTTTTTTTACAAAAAAAAAATATTGTTTTCGCACCCTGTTCACCGAGAACGAAGGAGCTTCTTACATTCAAAAATTCGGAATGAAAATGGGATATTGGTATCCAGGAAAGACAATTTTTTTTTTCGTCAGAGGAGCAGCACTGAACATGATTAAGAACCATCTATTTTTCAAATAAAATAAAGTTTAAGAAGGTTATTAACATTTTAAATAAAAAAGGCTTTTTATAGATCGTTCAATAGAACTCACGCTACAGAAACGCCATCTCGGGATTATTAAAATATTACCCCAGTATTACAGATCTCTATAGTGGGATTTTACTTACAAGCAAGGAAAATTATACTGTAAATAAAAGAATTATAAATTTGTTAAACAATGTATGTCATTCGTTGGGGAAACGACTTTATGCTGGTTATTGTTCAACAAAAATAAATAATTTAGAATGTTTACTTTGTAAGATTCAATAATTGGAGATACCTCAAACATTTAATACAATTTTTATTATTTATTATTAAAAGGATAAAAGCGGTCGTCCAAATTTAAGGAGGGATACTCGTATGTATATAACTAAGTCTGGACTACAATAGATTGGAAACTTACCATAGGCGCAGGTGACAACACAATTTTTGATTCCATATTTCCACATTTCATTGTACCTCTAAACGTCGTATACATATCTTCGGCCAATTTTTGAAACAAACTAATAATGCAGGCTTCGCTCTGTAGATTTTCTGGTACCAAAATCGATCCATCACTTCCGGTGAGATCTATGAGTCTTTGATAAAGCGGTTTGGCTGAAAAAGGGCAGAGAATCCATCAAATTTACGTTTCAAATACCTATGGAGTGTTGAAAAAATGGGTTTCGAGTTTCGACGACCCTTACACAAATCACATATACAGTATTGTATTTAATCGTACACATCCATAAATAGCGCGGAAATATTCTACATTGACTAAATTCTCATGTGTCGTATATTATTTACTAAATTTAGAAACAAATTTCATTAAATATAAGCTTGAAGTAATTTAACTATTAGCTATAACAAAAAAGAATTGGAAATGTGCCAAAAAATATATACCTGCGTTAAATGTTAACTTCTTTAACCAATTTACCTGCTTTCAAATCTTGATATTTAATTTCCTTACTAAGCAGAAAATGGACAACAATTTGCGATTCAAAATAATTTTTTCCCGCTCTGTAAGTAGGATAGAAACACTACAGTGTTGTCATACAAATTAATTTTTTGTAATAGAATTTTGAACCACAATGTAAACTTCAACTTAAAGATATTAATCCTGGTATCAAGTTATGATTTCCGTACAGCGGTTACCGCTATAACCACGATTACCTTTGTCACTGAAATTGTGACATTCAGAAATATATTTTTGAATTTCACTTTAATCAAATTAGTTTTAGACTTGTTACAATTTTCTTATACTACTTACACATGTTATAAAATGTACCCTCAGAGAGCGTATCGCTGAGCTTGAATCGCGAATTGAAAAACCATCAAGTCCATTATGATTTAACCCTACCACCTATTAAACTTATTAATTGTAATGTCTTTGATATTAGCATTTGTACTAAGTTTAAAATAAAAAAAAAGTTTATAGTTCGAAAAAAAAAGTGCCATTTGTGTTTTACTCCTTGTGGTTGTAGAAAAAGTACCTAAAGTGTAGCTATTCTAAAATAGGAAATGGAAAAATTCACACATTCAGTTTCTTTTGTAAATGACCTGCATGGACCTGCGACAATATATCTACGGTTTTATCATACCTATGTAGCACTCAGGAATCCAAGGGCACTATATCTAGGAGGATATCAAATAGAAGAGGGAGACTTGAAGCCACTTCAAATCCTACACTTCCTTGAGAAAATAGGATTGGAAGGGTCGCTATAGGCATTGAGACATTTCCTTAGTGCAGTGGCGACAGAAGGGGGCACAATAGATCTTTTAGTTCGCAGTGTATTAACACCCCATCTCAACATAACATAACATCATACCCATACTTACATTTTATAAAATTGAAATCATTGGTGGGCGTTAAACATACAATATGGAGTTTTCCTGGAAACGAAAATGGTACAGGAAAAGGTACTTTAGATCTTTGATTCAACGTGGCCAATGATTCCTTTAACGAATTTGATCCTAATCCAGTGTTGCCGTCTGTTACCAATAATATCTTAAAAATAATATAAATTTATAAAAAAAGTAATATCGCGTAAGAAATATTTAATTTCTCTATTACCTGACAAGCTGTGTTGTTTCCCCATTCACCCAAAACCATTTGGTTGACACCGTGTAAGGCTGTTTCTACGCAAGTCTTGTCGTAATCTTCTATGTTCTTCAGTTCCGCTTTAATTACATTATAATCTCTGGTGAATGGACATCTTTCTTCATATAACGAAGAAAAAGCCATCTATAAAAGGAACATTTTAAAAGCATTCGATTTTGTTTCCGAACTAATCGCAAAAAATAGATGGAAGGAAATATCCAGACTTACGAGCTATCCAGACTTAGTAGAATCAGAAAATATATTTAAATGTGCTTAATATGGATTGTCGACGTAATTGTGTTTATCTTTAACTTTTTACAATGTATATACAAAGTCTTCAACAGTGATCAAACTGATATCACCATAGTTGATTAATGACTATACAAGAAATGGTAATTTGTGCAACAAAAATCTAAAAATTTAAAAAAATATTTTAGGTTATTTGGACAAAATAACTAATTTTAAAATAATTTTCGACTTTTACTAATTTATAAAATAAAATGAACAAAAAAAAAATATTAGTCCCTAGTCCATATTTTTATACCCGGGCCTCTGGGGTAGAAGACAAACTCCGTGTCCTCACCTCCATCGCCACACTTACGATTTTAGTTTTAACACTCGTAATTAAATTAGTTTCATATAGTTTGATTAAAATGTAAGATTTATTTGTAAAATGTGGACGAAATAAAAATGCTTTTATCGATTCTACACAAGAATAACCCATTTTTACCTATATTTAATCTCAATAACTAAAAAATATACTGACAAATAGTTTGACAGAATTGTTACTTATATAAAATTTAAAAAATAATAGTAGCCGGGTGACCAAAATATGAACTGGGATTGGTGGATTTCATTTTTTTGCAGTGTTCTTACTAGGTAGAATGGATATGAAATATATTCGTTCAGTTGAATGCAATGTCATTCCTTTTCGTTTTGTAGTCTGTGCGTAGATAGGCTTATATCTATGTGGGTGTAGAAAAACTTTTTATAATTATCAAATTCGGTCTGATCATGGAGGTTGTACCCCAGTATAATTAATAATACAGTAGCGACAGCTTGAGTCGGCTCCTTTGATGTCGGGGTGGTCAGATTTTTATTGATAGTTGACGTTTTTGTCGCTTATTTCTACACTGAAATAAGTAACTTTAAAATATCTTGACCCTTTGTCTGTTTGAATAAAATATCACACAACAAATGAAAGATGAAAATTAAGTCTAAATATAATAAAAATGTATTAAAATGTGCATTACAACCAACCCGATAATCAAAACAATCAACTACCATTAATTCAATGACAATTCACATATGCCAGTTTGACGTATTTGCCACTTATTTACGGACATGCGCAGAAAAATATGGAACCCTCATAAACAATGAACTGTCGCTACTGTATTATTACTTATACTGGGGTTGTACTGAAGCGGTATCACGTGCGCCATATTGTTGCCACCATAATGTCATTTGTGACATTGACTTATAATTTTTTGGTTTTTTATTTTTCTGTATTCATTGCGTTCGTTTTATTTTTATATAGAAATAGTTAAAGATCTTGTTGAGGACATAATGGTATCTTGTGCTTTACGCTACTATATACGTCTAGATCGTGTATAAATCAAAAAATCAAAGGGGATAATCATCATGGGGCGTCGAGGTATGGAGATAACATATAAGTTGGTAAACAGAGTTATACTGAACAATACAATACGATTTTATAAACATTATTAATTAGCATTTACAGATTTCCAAAGCATTAGGAAAAAACTGACTACATGCACATGGTTTTTACACAGAGATTATTGGTAACAAATATTTTAAGAAAAAAATATTTTGATCGATCTTCATTGTGTAGAGTCCATTTGAAAATTGATGTTATATCACAATAATTTATGTGTATAATTAAGTTAAATTACAATATATTTTTCTAAAAGTTTTTGTAATTTTGCTATTTTAAGTGTTTTTCTATTGTCATGTAATAAATTGTGAAAACTTAAGCCTACATTTTGTAGTAGTTTACGTTATAAGCCCGTTACTTAGATGATCTTAACGCGCGAGCACGTAGAGATCAAGTAACGAGCGTGTATCGTAAAACGTTTTATGATATACTGCAATTTACTACGTTTTACAATCTAAAATCAAATTTTATCATTTGACATCATCATTATACAAGTTTCCAAATGTGACTTAAAATAATAACAGTTCAGTTACAACCGACAGCACTGTCATAACTGTTGTAAAAATTTTTACCGGGCTAGCCAATTATGACGCCCTTAACAACCATGAACAGAAGTTGGTTACCATGGTATAACATTGCAGTATATATCAAAAAATCATTTATAATACTTTGTTGTAAGGTGACTGTACCTGGATACTATCATATTGTTATTAATATAGTGTGATTTATTTAAGTATGAAGATGCTTTGTTTCAAAAACACAGGGTGTTAAAATTGTTTTTTTTAGATTTTCAAAATATTTACGAAACGGCTTTAACGATTTGGATAGAATGTTGGTTGGGTGATGTACCTAAAAAATCTGATGTGTCCAACACATGACTTCCTGTCTTACCTAAAGTTATTGTAGGTAATTTCTGGTTATTCTGTACAACCTACTATAAATGTTTAGCGTTGAGAGGATGATTTTCCACACACATTTTACTCGAAACATTTTTTATATACACAACTCTCCAAAATTAATTAACCACCTTAAATGTACCACAAGTTTGAAGCTTTTTTCTTCTTCTGAACTGTTGATTGGATTTCAATGATTTTTTTTTCACATTATAGATCTATTTTTAAGGAATTACTGTACCAATGTTTTCTGGGAAATGGCAACTTTTTACCCATATACAGGGTGTTAAGATAAATTTATTTTTTCATCTTATTTTGCAACACCCTGTGGAATTTATTAAAAACAAACGCTACATTTTATTAATATTGCGAGATAGCTTTTTTGAAGTCGGTTAAAAATTGAAAATTTTCTATCAACTTTAAAGCTTCCTCACAGACAAACGAAGTACTTTGTGATATAGGTAATTTTGACTCAATTGACTTATTTTGATCTCACATCATGCAGTAGCTCTATGTACAAGGAATTTTGGAACAGACTGCATTTATTTTCGAATCAATCATGAAACCTTTAATTGACAAATTCGACATCTACGTCTTTTTTTTAACAGGCAATTTTTTTATTAGCTCTGTAACTGGATATAAAAATCATATTCGTTAACGATTAGAATAAAAAACAAAAATAAATTTATAGATGTTTATTTGAGTAACAAAGGAAAATTGTTTTATGACTATTTTACTGGATTATTGCTAAATAAATATAATTTCGAATATCCTAATATTCAGGTGTATCATTTTGTCGTGACGGTGGCCTGGGCGGCTTTTTTCGCCTTAATAGTCTCGACCAAATCCTTGTATCTCTTCATGCAGTCTTTCTTTGTTCTATTGGGTATACATTCGGCAATTCTGTCCCATCTTTCCGCCGTCGAGGCCGGATACGTCTTGAGGGCTTGTTCCAACAGTTGTTGCTCGGACGTTGTCCACGGGGTTTCTGCTTTCGGTTTCAAATCTCCATTAGAGGTCACCTTTTTGGGTTTCTCGCCGTTCTCAGTGATGTTGACTTCGTCCAATTTTTTTGAGATGCCGCTTTCATCGATGTTGAGTACAGGTTTCTTGTCTTTTTTAAAATTGTCGAATGCTTGCTTGTTGGCGGCCTCTTTGAGATTGTGTTTGGAGAAATCAGTGTTTTGAAGATCTTTTGCTTTCGCCAGTACCATTTTTGCATTAAATTTGCTAGTATTTTGGGATAAAACGCCATGTTGATTAATAAAATTAGCTACCACTTCCCATCTTTGATTTGTACCAGCAGGAAAAAGATTAACAGCTTTAACTAGCAACTGGATGTTATCCTCATTCCACTCAGGAGCAATCATCACCACAGCAGGTACATTATTTTCCGTATTAATTTTTTGTTTAGGCACATTAAGATCTTCCAATCTTTCTTTATCCAAGCTTGCTTGATTATCTTTAAAAGCCTTTGAAAATGCAGATTTTCCATTATTTTTAAGGTTTGCATTGAGATCTTCTAATTCAGACAATGATAATCGTTCACACATACTTTCAATGGCCGTCATATGTGCCAGATTTTGATCCGCGTTGTCAGCATAATAATTGTTCGCTTTACAAATATCTCTGAGGATTTTCCTTTCTTTCTTTAAAGCCTTCTTCTGAACCTCCCTCTCTTGTCGTTTTGCTTCTATTCTAGCTCTTTCAGCTGCTTCTGCTTGTTCCTTGGCCAACTGGGCTTCTCTAAGAATTCTTTCTTCTTCTTCTTTCTTGGCTTGTGCGGCACTTTGTTTTGCCCTTTTGGCTGCCATTTTTCTTTCTTTGTCGTCTTGTTTGAACTTGTCAATCCTAGGGTCATTGTTGTATGCTAGATCTACTAACTGACGGATTCTAGACATTTCTTCTTTTTTCTTTCTAAGCCTTTCAGCTTTATTTAATTTATCTACATACCTGAAAACAAGACAGAATGCTAAATAATTTGAATGTGTAATGAAAAACAGAATATTGGAGTTTGTAATAATTATATACAATAACCAACATAGTTATTTGAATTTGAAATCAATTAATATTAGGACCTAAAAAAAGCTCTATTGCAAACACAAGTTACTACTCATAGACATATAAATGAAATCTTAAAATTTAGTTTTTCATGTAATTAAATGTTGTTTTATATTAGCAAATGTTTAATTTTAAATAATGTATATGTTTATAATCACTATTAAAACAAACATTTACAATATATATTAAATCATTTCAAATACAAGTACAATGAGTGGAAAAGACAAAATTTATTTTTGTGTGCCCCAATGCTTGGAGAACAAATGCATATACAGATACAGGGTGTTATTATATTCATTAATTGATGAATTTTGATATAGGAACATGAACCCTTAAAGGCCTTAGTCACCGAGATACAGGATGTTGCAAGCTTAAAATCAAAATTTAAAATTTGTTTGTCATGAATCAAAAACGACCCTAAAATTTGGTGACCAATGTGCTCTTTAAGAAAGTAATATTTTGATATAAACTATTTTTTGCAAAATTTAAGCAGTAGAACGCCATCAGAGCTAGTGGCAACCTTTATCCCCCTATTTTTACACCAGTGGTCATTTTTATGAGTCAGAATTTCATTTTCAGATGCCTAAAATAAGCTAAAATGATACAAAAAAACAAGATAAAAAATAGTAAAACATATGCAAAATGCCTTAGAACAAGTTATGGCAGGTAAAATTTCCTCATTCATTGATTTAGAAAAAAATTGAAAATGTTTTTTTTATTATTATTATTTAAATACTTGGTTCGTGTTTATATTTGTTTTTATTTTATATACTTTTAATGTTTACTACTTACAGTTTTATTTTAATAGTAAATTTGTTTGTTCCTCTATGTGCCATGGAGGTGGTTAGAAAACAAAATAGGTATAACCTTATTTTATTCTAAAAATTATTAAAATTAAAGTGTCCAAACACTCGTCAGTAGAGTTTAACAACAATAATTTTTTCTTTAAAAGCACAATATTGAACAAAAAAAAATGTTTAAAAAACATAAACGTAAACATCTAAAATGATATGTTTTTGAGTAGGTACTAATGGTACTGAGATACTAGTTTCAGATCCCAATAGGATACAAATCATGCTAAACTATAGGTTAATTTTCTAGTTTGAGTACTTACAAAACATATGTAAAACAATGTTCTAAAAACGTCTTGAAAATTTAAATGTTTGGAAAATTAGGAATTACCTTAAAATCTTTCCAGATAAGGGAGCCAACAGGGGTGGGTAAAACAACTTAAAAACTGGTGTGAAATAATTAAATTTTTAAAAACATAAGAGCAACAGTAATCGACACTAGTAAAACATCTTATGGAGTTTAAATGTAATTTTGCATACACCCTAGTTATCAACAGTTTCACTAGTTATTGTCACTCCAGTTCTTGACACTACAAAGACAGAATCAAGAAGCCCTACCCCCGCAATCGACAAAAAGTGTTGAAAAATGAAGAATAATATTCATATGTGTACCCAGTTATCAACATCCCCCAAATTTAGGCAAGTAAGCAATGAAATTTTACCCAAACATGTTTCAGAATGCAAAGATATATTAACTATTTAAAAAGCAACAACCTATTTTATAACGTATTTTCCTTAAGAAATTTCTTTAGAAAAAACTAAATTTACATGCTCGACACAACGTGCTCAATTTTTTGAGGCTTAACTAAAGGATTGTGATCTTTGAAGATTTTTACAGTTATTTCCAGAGACATTAGACTTTCGTCCTGATAGAGAATTATGTACAAATCTGAACACATGCTCTTGTTAGAAGAGTTTGAATTTCAAAGTCTTGATTACTGGTGCTCTTGCCTTATTCCATTATTAAAAATTTACCCAAAATATAATAGTGGGGAATGTGTTTATGATTGTAGTCTCTAAACATATGTATTTCTTTTTCGAAATTACCAAGAAGTTGAAACTATGCTACCCTATTGTAAAATTAGGTAAGTATACTGAGAAAGATCTGTAAAATGAGAAAAATATTAGGTGTCTAGACTTACAGCATTTCTCTTTACAATTATCCATATATAATTAAAAAACAAAATTAACCAAATCACTTAATCTGTAGGCATCAATAATGGCTCAAAAACAAACTTAACTGAACAACATGTAATATATATAAAAAAAATCTGAGGCCAAAGATTTAAATCACAAAACTGTGCCACCAAGGCAGGTAATAAATACGCTCCAAAAACACAAATGTTTAATTTTTGTCTGTTCATGCCAAACTTTTTTCCGTTCAGCATATGGTGCTGTAAGTCTAGACTCAGCAAGAAAAAATACTAACCTCCTTTCATCTCTATCCTGGCATTTATCTTTGTCCTCTTCGTCTTCATATGAATACTCCCTCCATGATTTGAAGTCATACCAAAAGGAATAAAAATGTTCAACATCTGCCCGCGAAGAAGTAGCATCACCCAATTTAGGAACCACACGTCGTTCTGACCAACGGGTGTTCAAGTCAAAATAATAAGTAAACGTTTTGTAAAAGTCTTTCTTTATATCACTACCGCTGGGTAAATTATTGTCAAAGTGAGGATCCACGGAATCATATGCTTTCCTTCTACTAACATTTCCTAGAGTTTCATAAGCCATAGTGATGCACGTAAAGTAATCATCGTCAGTTTTTATTTCTTCGCCTAAGGCTTTTCGTTTGTCAGGATGATGTTTTAACACTTTTTTACGGTAAGCTGTTTTAATTATATCTTCAGAAGCTTTGAATCTTAAATTCGGTATACCTAATACTTTATAGTGGTCTTGGCTCTTCCATTCTTTAGGATCTAAGCTTCTTAAGTATTCAACATCGTCCTCGTATTCGACACTCTCGGGCGCTATCTCATCCTCTTTGTCTTGCTTGCCTTTGGGGATTGTGACTATCAATGCTATTAAAGGGTGTTGCAGAAACTTTAATTCCGGCTCTCCACCGCCTACATTTTCGAATACAAATCGATATCTAAGTGCTATCGCATTGCAAATATTATTTTTCGCTACTTTAGCTTCTCCCATGTTTACTAGTTCATAACCTCTTACACAGCAGTCACATAAAAAATTGCACTTTTGCGGACGTTGATGTTTCCAAAGACGGACTTCTTGATAGTTTCGAGTAGAGTATATTTTGAGTATTCAAACACTTTTATAGATTTTTAACGTAAAACAAATTTTCCCGCATGGCGAACGACGAAAAAACCCAAATAGAAAGAACTATGCCGATATGTCAAGGTTGGTACGTTGGTAGACGTGGACATTGACAGATGACGCAAATTAACAGTTTAAAAAACGCACAGCGTTGCCACGTATTCCTGTTTAGTCAAAAAGTTATTGAAATTACATTAATATTTATTTGGTTTCGTTATAAAAAAATATAAGCTGTAATTTGTGGCTAAGGTTGTTATACTATGGTTTCGTATTATGACATGCGTAATGTAATAAATATTTTTCTAATTAATATAATGAATAATACATTTAATAACTCTATTGTCTAGGGACCGATTCCACCGTTGTGTTAAACGAAGTTTAAAATTACATTTTTACATTAATAATGTCATTTTAATCTCCGTTTAACACAACGGTGGAATCGGCCCTAAGCTATTAAGCCATACAGGTATATAATATATCTCGACAATTTACTACTTACTATATTCTAATATCTACTACAGTAAGCGCCAAACTAAAGAACCAGCGCAAATGCTCAACTTCGTTTACTTAAAAATCGCCACGCCCATTCACAATTTGAACCTTGTTCTTGCTTAGGGTCAGTAGCGTAACGACTAGATCATTGTTTGTTTCTTGTTTCTCTGTTTTGGTTAAAGTGACTGGTTTTATTTTTGATAATGTCTTCTATCGTGGGTGAAAAAAAGCGCAGATCTGTTATTAACGGACAAAGTCGTGAAGTAATATACAATGTTTTTAAATATTTTGACGCAACAAAAAAGGAAGGAGTTACTTTAGATGATATCAAACTTCAAACTGCACAAGCAACAGGTAAACATACTATGCATTTTATTTTTGATTAATATTTTATATTTAAATTTTTAAAATTTATCTTCTGTTTCTAAAAATTTTTGTTTCCTAATAAATGTAAAAAAAATACTAACTTTAACATTAATATAATATTACGCTTTTACAGGTGTTTCTACTACCGTTAAAAGAATTTTGAAGGAAGGTAAACAGTCAATGAAAACAACTGTAAAAATTACATTTTCCACACCTAGGAAAAACTTCGTCAAAAAATCAACCGCTACGAATCTCCCTGAATATCAATTGAGGGACATTCGAAGAATAATTTACGATTTTCATATAACAGAAAAGTCTCGTGTTACTGTTAAAAGGTCAAATAATAAAATTAAGGAAGATTTAGATATCCACATATCAGAAACTTCATTAAGAAGAGTCCTTAAAAAATTACAATTTAAATGGAGAAAAACACAAAATAATCGTAAAGTTTTGGTGGAAAAAATGAAAAGAAGAACTTTAAGAGTAAAATATTTGAGACAGATAAAATATTTTAGATGTCAAAATAGACCAATCGTTTATTTAGATGAAACATATATACACAGCGGACATACTTCTTCCAAGAATTGGACTGACGATTCAACAAAAGGTTTGTTTTCTGTTATTTCTAAAGGCCAAAGGCTTATTATAGTTCGCGGTGGGGGAGAAATGGGTTTTATCGAAAATAGTTTGTTGATATTCAAATCAGGGACCAAGTCAGTTAAAGTAGGTACTTAAGAGAAATATATTAATAAAATTACAATAAGATATCATTACCGGGATTATCTCACAGAAAACTAAGAACAGGTAAAGAGATTTAATTAAGCTCAGTTATTAATATCTAATTGATCACTTCAAGTGTTTCTAAATGGTTTAATTTAATGCCTTTATTCTCAAAATGTGAAACAATTTTTGCATAAACGATTGATTTTCAGATAAAATATGTTTTGTAGAATTATTTTTGTTTTTAGTATAACTATTGTAATGTTATAAATAGCTTTTTTTTTGAAAGTACGGCCCGTTTGACCAATATACAATTTTACCACAATTTAATTTATTTGAATAAGGATAATTTCCTGACCGTAACAGAATTTTTTATAAATACCGAACGGACAGCGGTAGGTAGAACAGCCTTAACCTAAAGTCGACTTACTTAAAAATAATGATTTTTTAATTGACTATAGAATTATGTACTGATAATAACACTAAGCAATATGTATGAACAAGTATCATTCACTATTTTCCATTTATTTTATGTCTTAAAATATACGCGCCCCTGGTTTACAACTTTCTAGGTAAGCTACCAATTCTATTCATTGGTAGGCGTGTTTGTAGTATTATAAATGCGGGTTCTTGGTGCTTTAGATTTGGCGTTTACTGTACTACTGTGCTTTTTCGAAATTGGCGCTGAGACACAGTAACAAAGCTACATAAAGCACAAATCAAATGACTTTACAAATGTACCTTCTGCCAAAATCCGGTTAAATATCTGAAATGTGCACAGTGTTTAGACTGCTCCACAATAAATGTAAAAAAAATTGGTTATAATAGAATGAAGTAGAAATAATTTTTTCTACATACACACAGACTACAAAACGAAAAAGTAATCCATTGTGTTCAATTGAACGAATATATTTCATATCCATTCTACCTAGTAAGAATCACCAATCACATTTCATATTTGGTCACAGGTTACTATTTTTTTAAATTTTTTATAAGTGACAATTTTGTCAACTTAATTGTCAGTATATTTTTTAGTTATTGCGATTAAATACCTATAATTAAAAATGAATGATTTTTGAGAAGAATCAATAAATAATAGCATTTCACAAGATATGTCTTTTTTTCCGTCGGTTTGTTGGAATCGTTGTTTCACCGATGCGAGCTTGAACGCCTTGTGTTGGATTCGGTTAATTTATGGTTTGCCGTTGAAATAAACAGTTGACATTTTGCATTAAAATTTGTGTTTATAATTTTATTTGAATGTAGGTACCTAATTTGAAAGTATATTTTTTTAAAGCCCATTTTTTCGGTTTTTCCCACAATAGAACAATTAAATAATTAATGAACTCCTTAATTCTGCTTAATTCCCGCAATCCAGCTGTCAGTGACATTTAATCGGAAAAACCATGCATTGAAACTGATGGAATGGTGTTGCACTGATTGCAGCAACGTTGGATAAAAAACGCTGTTAGTTCATCATTGATAGATTGATGAACACATACTTTGATTACTATACGGGGCAAGAGAGAGGTCCGACACGCCCAACATAGGGCGCGGCCATTTAGAACCCTATGACACAGTTTATAGCTAAAGAATCAGATCGCTCACTCTGCGTCGGCACTTTTTATCTCAATGTTCCAGTTTATATACTGCGCAACTCAGATAATACAATATATGACAACCGCCTATAATAAAACAGCAGTCTTCTGCGTATCCTGAATTTGTATCCCTGGAGTGGATGTTATTTTGGAACTTTCAACTGGTCCGAGTGAGCTAACTGATTCTTTAGCAATAAACTGTGACTCCAAAAATAATATTCACTGACACTGACAGCAGCAAGCAAAATATCAGGTGCGTTTTAATCATCCGCTTCTGCTTCCGGAATTGTCGGTTCAGTCGTTCTAACCTGTCAGATTAAAACAAGAAAACCGACAATTCCGAAGCAGAAGCGGATGATTAAAACGCACCTATTAAAAATATTGCGCCAATATGTAGGCAACACGTAATAAGGGTTCAAAATTGCGGAGTTTTCTATCTCCTTTTAAAAGGCACTCAGAAAGCTGCGCAGTGCGACCATTCTCCGTATAGTAAAAGAAAATCAAAGTATGTGTTGATGAACAAAAAAAAGACAGGTAGATACTACATTGATGCCAACGTTACTGCAACAGTTAGATAAAAAGACACATTATTCGTCTATATTTACAAATAAATCATAAATATTAAGAAAAATATATAAAATCAATTTAATTGAGTATTAAAACTAAAATGTTAGATGTGTCGATAGAGCTAAAAGTACCATACTGAGTTGCCATGAGAAACGTCGAGAATTCAAATCTAGGATTGAAGATTAATTAAATATTTTTTTTTATATTTATTTTATATTATAAATTAATGTCATAAATCATTTTCAAATTAGTTATTTTTATTTTATCTTAATAACCTAAAATAATTTTTAAAATTTGTTGATTTTCGTTAGTGGGAAAACATTCAAATTTCATTTTTAATTTTTGTATTTTTTAATATGTGTACATCAATTTTTCCATACCAGTGTATATCAATCCGAAAAAAATGGTTAAACGTTAAACGGAAGATCAGAAATTACATCTGGCAACCCCGTTTAAAAATTTGTCAAAACTAAAAAATAAATATAATTTAAATGGCTTACCAGTGATATAAATTCCAATTTTGAATGAATACTGAGATGATCCAAAAATGCACATATTCCTAATTCTGCGAGCTGTTTTTTTGTAATTGTTTCAAAACCATCTCCAAGTTGTACAGGTTTTGTCATAGAGAGAGATACATCTAATAATATGACAGTAGGCATTTTAATACGTTTTAATATACACTTTACTGTATTTTAATTTAAATCAACTTGATTATGTTAAGATTTAAGTAATGCATTTAGTAATTTTCATACTTTTGTTTTGAAAAATATTTCTTGGTTATATGTCACATGTCACCACATCAGTGCATCTCTCTCTAACGTCTCGTCATATGTCAATTCTTTTTAAGTTAAGCTCCAGTCATACTGGCATATACAGAACGATGTCTGTCGCTGCCTACAGTTTCCTTAACCAATCATCAACATGCGTTCTTCTAAGCTGTCAATAGTATATAATTATTTGATTGGTTAAGGAAAGTGTAGTCAACGACAGACTTTAGACAGCAGACACCTATACGTGTGTCTTTTTTTCCACCGGTTTGTTGCAACCGTTGTTTCACCGATGCGGCCTTGAACGTTTTGTGTTGGATTCTGGTTGACCGTTGAAATAAGTAACAGTTGACATACCGCACCGATGCCAACGTTGCTGCAACAGTTGGATAAAAAGACACACGTTATGTTTCAGACTTCCTCCATGCTTCAGACTTCATTCTCTGCTTTTGTTTTGTGTTTGCTACAATATTCTAAACGACCGTGTTAGCGTTCATTTTCTTGTTGTCTGTGTTTTTCTCAAAGATCTGTAATGGTTCCTATAAGTGGCACATAGGTAACAGTTTCAACAACATCACTTCAACTGCTTCAACCACAGTTTCAACATCACTTGTTCAACCACTTCATTACGCATAGACTATAGACAGGGCCGCTGAGAGCCATGGTGGAATCCGGGGCAAAACACTAGCAAGTCCCCTCCACTCCCACAACTATTTTAATCTATTTTTTAAAGCTGTCGGGCCCCGGGGATTTTGCCCTCCTGTCCCCCTCTCTAGTTTGCCCTGCGCAAACTCCATGATATACCATATCGATAAAATAATTATTTTATCTATAAAATAAACCATATTTTCTAGATACCATATATGAAAGTCTCATCTTATTCTGTCTCTTCTTCCATGGTCCCACCTTTCTATGGTCCCACCCATAGAAAAATAACCCTTCGAATTCGGACGGCACTGTATATGAACATATGTAAAAAATGTTGCCTACTTTTGGTGTTTGTGTTATATCAATGGTTTGTATTCTTGTATTCATAGACAGGGTGTTTCAATATGTATAAATATTGTAACTGGTAAAATATTGCTCATTATTATTATTTAAATATGTAAAAATTAATTGATTTTTACTTTAATACTTCCAAAAATGTCAACTGTGTGTATCTTTATGAAAATAGAAACCCATATAATAATATATGATCAATAAATAACATTAAAATCAAAATAATTGGTATACTTATTACCTATATCGAAAAATTAATGCTATAATGACAATTCTACAGTAGTAGAGAATGTAGGAAAATACAACTCATCCATGTGCCCTTGCCATATACACCTCTGGTGATAGCCAGAAACTATTTTTACTATAATTTGATGTGACTCAAAATCTCAAATTACTTGAACTTATACTGCCAAACATCATAAAGAAATATCAGGCAGTATTGAATTAATGATAAAAATTCATTTTTAAATATTAGTATTTCTGTACCTCAGTAAGGAGTAATATTAATTTCTAAAAATGTATTAATACATTTTTTTAATAGGTACATAATTAAATTTAGTATTGAATATATTTGCTGTTTGCAACGTAAAATTAATAATATATTAATTTAGTTTCAAATTTAATAGGTACTTAATTTAGGTCATGATTTGAGTTAGAAAAAATAAATCTTCACATTTTGAGCTCAAAATTTTTCAGTTATAATATTTTCCCATAATGAAACATCCTGTATATGTAAATTTGTTGAGTTTTATGTTCTATGTCTTTTTCTGGTTTGTTTTAGTTTTTGTATTTTGCTTATGACATTTGAGATGATGTAACCTCTAAAAATTTGTTCACTGTCGGTTGTTTTTTATGAAATTTTTAATGATATAATGGGCTGTACAGAAGATAAGAAAAAGAAACTATACGACCTTTACTCGGAATTTGTACTGTGTAGATTTGTAATCGGTCAGTTAAAAAGTTGCTCTCGTATGGAGACATGATCGTCAGGAGAGGAAGAATATGACCTTTGAATTAACTAGTTTTTAAATTAATTCGTTGTTAATTTATTGATTCTTATAGTATTTCAGTTAACAAAAATAAATATCAGCATCGTCATCATGTCGAAATTACCTCCAAAAACGATTTTCACCTATAAAACGTTGGTACATGCAACTGCCGGGGCCGCCGTAAGTAATATGTTTATTTAATATTCACTTTTACTTCATATTTGAAATTGAATAAAATTCAAACCAAAACAGAATCTTAAATGTCCATATTTTGAAAAATCCTGTTTTAATATATTTATTCATTCATTTTAAAAGTACTGTGACAATTTGATAGAACTGTTTTATATTTACTATTTCCTTTCAAATGTATTTATTTTTCTTCTTTCTGCATGATGTGCTTTCTTGAAAGCACATTCACTATTAACAATAAATATACAATGTCAACTATTGGACGCTTTCCAAAACTACCGAGTTAGCATTAGGGCGAGCAGAAAACAAATAATATCAAGGTAGAAAACTGGCTGTCTGGGGATATCTCGCTGTGTGCCTCTTCACATCAAACAGTGCACACAGCAACATTAATATTATTTGTTTCCTGCTAAAACTAATGTTAAGTCATTGTAGTTTTCACTTCAAATTTAGCAAAACATATTGGAAAGTGTTCAATAGCTGACACTATATTTTCTATGGCCCTATAATAGAGATATTTAATTTCACTATCAATTATTCATGATTATTAACTGTCTTTATTGTCAAAAAAATGTTGTTTAAGTTGAAACTCACTTTTAGAATGCCACAAAATTGTAACATCAACAAAAATTATCAATTCTCTTGATATTAATACTGTTTATTATTGAAATAAATAAGAAAAAGTAGTAGGTTCAATACAGATCTCTGAGTCACCCTATACTTTTGTCAATTGAATTAGATATTTTACTATTAATCAATAATGAAGGAAAAGAAAACTCGAAGTATTAACCACAATAAAATTTAAAATTATTGTGGTTAAGACTTCGAGTTTTCTTCCTTATAGGTGGTACCACATTTGAGACATGGATAACCTTCATACTCCTACTAATCAATTAATTTTTTTAGGCCAGCATATTTGCAATGAGCAGTGTGTACCCTTTAGATATGATAAAATTCAGGAAACAACGTATGTAAATTTATTTTTTTTATATATATTTTTTTAAATATTTATATTTTTATTGAATATTTCTATTTTAGTTGAGGATAAAGAAGTAATGGAAAAATCAACCTTAGATGCTATTTTACATCTTCTAAAAACTGAAGGAATGTGAGTACTTCTTAAAAATATTTGTTCTAAATTGTTATGATTTTGATTGAGTAGAGTTACCATTAGGGTGATCGAACTGTTTACTGGCAGGAAAACAAATATAATTGAGTTATTTTTTTTGTGCATATTACTTATCCAAGGACATAAGTAATAAATAGAGTATTGAGAAAAGGAAGGGAAAAGGCAAAATATGTTATGTGAACACTTTTAAAAGTAATTAAGAAAAAGTTGGGAAAAGCACATTTTGCCAGTTTTCGGAGACTGGATAAATTGCCAGATACTGTTAAACCTTTTTTTTTTAGACAGATGGGCGAAAAATTCGAATTTTTCGATCGTCATCATATTAGGTATAGCGGAAAATTTACTGGAAGTAAAACCAGAGGCATTTTAACTTTCTCAAGACGTCTTTAACGATATTTTTTCATTGTTGTTTCATATAGGCTTAAATACACTGACGTCTGCAGGTTATGGAATATGTGAAGCATAAAATATGATATTGTTCTATTAGCAAAACTTTCTTAATGGTAAAGTCATTTGTAACTGTCTAAATATTATGGTGCACTTTATATAATTTTCTGTGAGTCAGGAGTTGAATGGAGTCGATATATTTATATTCATAAAAGACATCGCTCTTCATCCAACCCGAACCAGATTTTCCAACAACACAGGTATCACAAACATTTTCACTTAGTGTTCGAGGTGGTCTTACGTAGAGACAAAGTACCAAGTGAGGACGAGATTTTGCTGCTGGCATTGAATATAATAAAAACACTCTTGAGGTGCCTTCCAAAACAGCCTCTAAATTGTTTTAAAAAGGTTCTCAGATCATTAAACCATGAATGAATTGGCTTTTCTGTAATCACTGCCTGAGCTGCTTTGTTAATGCCTTTTGCTTGAGTTAGCAAAATTTTAGGGTAACACTATGGAAAATCTTATACCACTTCATCTAAGCAGCTAGTTTGTGAAATTCATCCTTTTGCCAGCATCCGTCGCAATTTTTGTTACAGCTTCAATTGAGTATTGGTAATCCACATTTCGCTATTTTAATAGCTGTCATGTTTTATCCCACCCTCTACTGTCAGTATTGATGGTGGACCATTACTTTTTTTAAATGCCGGGATATTCCTGATTATTTGTCGTGAATTGTTGACCTGAGTATACCAAACTGCTTGCTGGCTTCTTTTTTGCTTAAACTAGACTGTACTTTGTAAATCTGATTCAATTGAATCATCGGGATATTTACGTACGAAATTTCAACAGTTGAAAATTTGATTAATAAGTATATCTACAGGGTGTTTCTAAATTCATGCGACAAAATTTAGGAGGTGATTGCTCATATAAAATTAAGATGGGTCTTTCCTATAACAAAATTTCCTCAGCCCACCCCTTTCCGAGATATCACCCTTAAAAGGTGGTGACTAAAATTGAGTTTTTATTTTTTTTTCTAAAATTTTTCATTTCCAGCATTTATTATGAATCGTATTACCTTTTACATATTTACTGTTTTCCACTCAATTTATTAAAAAGGTTATAAATTATGGTGTTTATTTTTTTCGCTTCAGCTATTGGTTTTGGGAAAAAAATTTAAGAATAATTTTTTTTTTTTTAAATAAAAAAGGATTTTAAGTTATAATTTTATTTCATAAAACTTCATCTCGAAAAAAAAGTTTTGATATAAAATAAAGTAAGGGTTGCTGATTTCACCTCTCTATAATGTAACAGGAATATTGAAAAAATACCCATGGTTAGTCCTTTGCGAGTGCACGAAAATTACAGAATTTCAAGTTTCTAGCTTTACTGAAATTTTAGAAAAAAAAAAAAAATAAAATCTCAATTTTAGTCACCACTTTTTAAGGGTGATATCTCGGAAAGGGGTGGGCTGAGGAAATTTTGTTATAGGAAAGACCCATCTTAATTTCATAGGAGTAATCACCTCCTGAATTTTGTCGCATTAATTTAGAAACACCCTATATACTTAAAAATTATAGGCCTAGTACCCATAGAAAACTAAAAAAATACGTGTGGCACTCGGGGACTGCCGCGGTAAAGCTATTGCATAGCATTTTTTATCAACTTATGCAATTATAATTATTTATTTATTTTATTTATGCAGTATTTTTTTTTCTTTGATATTAATTCAAGTTTTTTCTTTGATATTAATTCAAGTTACACTTTTTGAGCGTGGTGACCGATAAGAAAACACATTTTTTTTCTTTTATTGAATAAATGAGAAGTTAATATTGTTTAAAATATTTTTATTATCTTACAATTTTTATCATTGAAACTATAGGTTTATGGTAACTGAAATAAGAAACATAAGTTTGAGGCTTGATATCCTCTAAATATTGGAAAATACCGCGTCAATGGTGGTCTCATATTTTGTTGTGGATTCTTGTGGATCATTATTTATTTTCAAATTCAATTTTTCCGAAATTGTGTCTAAAAGAGATAGAATCAGTTATGAGCAGTTAGCAGATAGTCTACATGCATACGTCTAGTCGCACGCACACAAACACGGTGCCGAAGTCTGCCGAACTGAAACGACGTTAGACGATGCACGGCTTTCAACGCTGTGCCGGTCGGAGTGGGGGTCGTTAGGTTTATTTTCGTTACGGAATTTCTTTTTCGATTTTTCAATTTTTTGATTTTTCGATTTTCTTTTATTAAATAAATGAAAAGTTAATATTGTGTAACGCCGCACCGCTGTGCCGGTCGGAGTGGGGGGTGTTAGGTTTTTTCGTTACGGTTTCTTTTTTTTTCTTGATTCGGTCGCCGCGCTCAAAGCCCGCGATAAAAGCTATGCAATAGCTTAATACCTATAAGAAATTAATATTAGAACATCTACTTACTATTTTTTAGAAGCGAGTCCACTGCAATTTTTGTAATGGCTTTTCCTAAGTTAATATGGTGTTGAAAATGTGTGACTGGCAGGGGATTAGTATTCACTAGGCACAAATCAATAATATATGCGCAAAAGTGATGGAAGTTTCTTATTTTAATGGTTTTTATTTAAAATTGCCCGAGAACCGGAGCTGTCCGGCTAACCAGTCCGATCACCCTATTATATTGCTTTAAAATTCAAAATAAAGAAAAAATTATTCTTTTTATTTCTAGAGACTCGCTGTACAGAGGTATTAGTCCAGTTGTAAGGACTTTAGGTGTATCGACTTTTGTTTATTTCTATACATTCCATGGATTCAAGTCCCTCATACCTAAGGAACTAGTTAATTCGAGGACTGACTTGTTTTTAAGTATTTTTGCAGGTAAGTTTAAAAACTATTAAATATATTCTTTTTGTCCCTATATTTTTTCTCTATTTTTCCAATCATTATTACACAATATTTAATATGAAGCGTATAAGACGCTTCAGATTCAATTAAAAATTACACTTTTCTACAAATTTCTCTGTACACTTTTTAGTCATTTATTTCTTATCCAGACATATCATTGGTTCAAACACACGACACTGACTACTGATCTTGCATTATTTGTATTACCTAATATAAAAGTCCGTTTTAACAACATTCAATAAAATGTATAGATAGCTCAACAAATTTGACTTGATAGTCTAAACATCTGTGAAAGTTTATCAGGTTCGTAAATTTGAATGAACCTTCTTGCAACTGGATCTTAAAGTTATAAGTTAAAATGCCAAAAATTATCTCTAATGGAATGTAATGCCATTTCATAATGGCTTGATTCCTTTTAATTTCCTTAAAAGTGCAAAAGATATTAAACAATTGAGTAATTAATAAACTATTGTCAGTTTTTGATTGATATTATGCATGCATTACTGCGAACTTTATGAACTTCATTTCTTTTAAGTATATTTAAATTGAACATTCGATAACATTTTTTATCCACTAACAACTGGTTTTATTACAGTTTCAAAAAAAAATGCTAATTATGTGTTTATCCTTGAAGTAAAAAAAAAAATGGTAATTTATTTTATTAGTTCACTTATTTGAATACATTTTTTTTTCTAAAAAAACAAAGCTCACAATTTAAGATTTTAAAAGATATTTACTTACCAGGTGTTCCATGAGTTTTTTGACCTGTTAATAATTGTTATTTAACAAGATAAAATTTAAAATAATGTGTATATGGGATGAAAAATTTTTTACAGGATGAATTCAAAGTAAATCCTTGTCAAACCACCCCTTAGAAACTACTCTTAACATTAATTTTTTGTATAGTATCTACATGTTTTTTTGTTAATGATATACAGGGTCCCTACTATTTCATAGGGACAGTTTTGTTATTTCTAAAGTTGATTAAATTAGACAAAAGTTGCTCATTAAAATAGTGCCAAGAAACCTTTGATATCTACAGGGAGATTTAAAATATCATACAAAAAATGAATGCATTTAGAGAAATGACCAACAGGTGGATAATTTACATGTTATTAAACTTGTTTTCTCTCCTGTATATTTTATTTTTTGATCTAAGTTGGTTTTTTCCTGTACTCTTCATATTTATATGAATAAATAATTTTTTTACCAGTCTAATTTTTTACAATTGTGACCATTAGAGCCTAAAAAAAATGACATATCACCGAAATGAGGGCGATTAACAAAAAACATGTATGTTAAGGGTGGTTTCTAAGGGGTTGTTTAACAAGGAGTTAATTTAAGTTCACGCCGTAAAAGATATAATCCCAGATACACCATTTTTTTCTGAAAATGTTATTTTGTCAAATAACTGTGATATTAGTTGGCCGAAAACTTATGAAACACCTGGTATATAATTCTTTTTCAAAAATCTAAAGCTTTAAATTGAGGTAAAAACCATTCAGAATTTTTATTTTGTTATCTGACAAAAAAACATATATTAGTAGACTGAAGGAAATATTTTATAATTATTGTATTTTATCTCATGATAAAACATGTCAAAGGTTAAACTTGGACTAAGTGTCAAATTTTCTAATTAATTACAGAAATATATTTAGATTTGACTTTCAGAAGTTACTTTGCTCTGGAATAAGTGGTTGCCCTTAAAATAAGTGATGAAATGTACTTTGGAATATAATGATAACATATAATATAAAAAAAAATTATAGGCTGATATCAAAAAGTTATTGAGGTGCTTACATACATTTTAAACCGAATACAAAAATAAAAATTTTAATATAAAACACACTAGACCGAGTGCAAAATAATATTATTAAAGAAAGGGGTTGAACATTAAAAGCATTTGACATATATCAAATAATAGATGATTAAGTCAAAATGAAATATAATAATTCGTTCTTTATTAAATAAATTGTCTGCCACTATTCCAATAGAGGGTTATTTTTTTAATGGAATCCACACTAAATATCTTATAATATAGAACTGTTATTGAAGGGAGTATCTTTCTATTATATCCTCATACGTCATTCCCTTCCCCTAAATGAATAATTATAGAGTCAATGCATTGTGAAGTGAACATTTTTAATAAAAGAAAATGAAAATTGACCTAAAACAACATTTAAGGGTGAAAAAAGTTAATAATAATTTGACTTACCATAACATATACATTACAGATTAGCATTCATTTTCATTTTCAGATTTTCATTAAAGTATACTGAAATTTTATATCATGATATAAATCTAACCCATTTTAGTTCCTGTCTTCGTGTTAAATGTGTTTGTCGTACTTGTTCAATGTAGTTTTAAAATTAAATTGACTGTTGAAGCGTTGTATATTCCAACTTAAAGAGGCAACTCCACTCTCTCCTGTTTTTAAATTAAAATTTATAATATTATATTAGATTTATATCATGATATAAAATTTCAATAAACTTTAATGACTGAAAAATGAATGTTAATCTGTAATGTATATGTTATGGTAAGTCAAATTATTATTAACTTTCTTCACCCTTAGTTATTTGTTGTTTTTGATCAATTTTCAAATTCTTTCATTAAAAATGTTCACTTTCCAATGCATTGACTCCATAATTATCAGTTCAGGTGTGCCTGAAGATGAAGTTACTACTTCATAACAGGTCGCTAAATAAATAATTATCTGAGAAATAAAGAACCTTTTCTTTCTGCCTTTTACTCACGTATGGCTACCCTCACCTTTAAAATAAAAATTGATTAATAGTTTTTTATTTCATTACGTCATTACCCATTTTTAGGTGTTGTAAACGTTCTTACAACAAATCCTCTATGGGTAGTAAATAATAGACTTAAGAGGAAAGAGGAGAATTTACCATACACCGGCCTTCTTGATGGTATGGTCTACATTGCTACTACTGAAGGTATATCCACCCTATGGAATGGAGTAGCGCCATCTTTAATGTTGGTATCCAATCCTGCCATTCATTTTACAATATACGAAGCATTAAAACGAAGAGTTAATGTTAAAACAGCTACTGCTTTCTTTTTACTAGGTAAGAATTAACTCTGCTTTGAAAAGTATGACAGTTTTCTAATAATTAGTAACTAGGAGATTGGCATCTTCAGTTATTTTGCTGATTCAGAATCAATACGCTATATTAGTGATGACGTAATTTCTGTTCCAATAACAGTCGACATAAAAAAGGAGGTTATAGGTATTCATTAACATTTTATTTCTATTTTTTTTTTTCAAGATTGTATCCATGTATACATTAAACATAATTTGGTTACCTTCAACTTACTTTTAGCGGGCGTAAAGTGCCCTTTTATCGCCCGCCGGGCAGTAAAGTAAATTTTTATAATTACGGGCTTACAAAAGGCGAAAAAGAGAAAATAATAGTTTTTTTATTAATAAACGATCATTAAAACGGTCGTGCATAACATTTTGTAAACAGCGGCTTGGGCTCTTACTTACATGTTGCGGTAAATGACCGCCTGTTTTATGCCCTTGATACATAAATAACTGTTATGACCTGCAAATTCAATGACAGTATCATTTGTTTTTGTTGAAAGTGAACTGTCATCGGAACACAAATTACGTCACACTAATATAACATATATAGAAGTATTGGACCAAATATATATATTTTTTTTGTATTTTAGGAGCTTTATCAAAAACTATAGCGACAATCATAACCTATCCCTTACAAGTGGCTCAAACTAGACAAAGGCTTACCAGAGGCCCCAGGATGAGTACAGCAGCTCTGTTATTAATGATGATTAAGAAAGACGGCCCTAGCGCTTTGTTTAAGGGACTGGAATCTAAAATGTGGCAAACTGTGTTTGCTACTGCGTTAATGTTCACTACGTATGAAAAAGTAACTCAACTGGTGTTTAAAATACTTCTAGGTGCAGCTAAAAGGAAAGCTCTTGCCCAATAGGTTTTGTTTGCAATGTTTTCTTTTTTCAAGAGAATTTGTCTAGGTAATTCATGTTTTTCTCTTATTGCCAAGATCTGATCAAAAATTATTGCACATAGGAATTTATGTGAATTTCGGATTGTTCATTTTTAAATGGCTATGTCGGTGGTGTGAATGATTTTTATTGTTAAATTTTATAGATTTATATCTAAAAAAATGTGTAGTCAATTGTTTTTATTTATTTTAATATCGAGCATTTACCTTTTAATTAGTCACTTGTCAATATTAGTTACCTATCTAAACAATTTTAAAGTTACATTCATAGGGTATGAAGCGTACGTTTTAAGAAATTTAAATGGAATTTTCTCAAAATATATTTTATTTTAAGAAGAAATTAATGTAACATTCTGAGAAACTGTTTTTAATAAGCTTCATTATTCTGTTGACATGTGACATTTTCTTCAAACTCAGCAACCAACTGTTTTGTTAAATTGATTCCTTTCTTTATGGAAAATATTACTTTTGGTTGTTAATGTTATATTTAAGCTATTTGTTAAAAAAGGAACAAACTTAAAGTTTAAACTGATGATGTATTTTTGTGAGCATATAATTATTAGCCAAAGATAAAATTAAATTAAAAAAAAAAAACTTAAAATACTGTGATATCGTCAAAAATAGTTTCATAGTTAAAATTATTAACTAATAAGGCTTAATAAATTGTTTATAGTGTAGTTTGCCAACTCATCCTGATCTATTCATTATTGGTAAATAAATACTTTGCTTTTTTGGTTATAATTAACTGAGAAATATGTGGTAATTGTAAATGACAGCAGAAAACCCCTTCTAACATTTTGAAGTTATTTTTTTCTGTTATAATGATTAAAATGTTGCCAGTTAATAATAATGAGAGTAACATCCATATTCACAAAGTATTCTTAAGTATTTATCTACCTATAAATCCTTAAAGACAGATATGTAAACGTCAAACCAGAGAAAAAGTATAGTAGGGCGATATCATGATTTTTCAAACACACTGAATCATTAGTTACTATTAGAAAAATTAAAATAAATGAGACTATGTTTCCTCAAAACATATTAAATATTCTTTAATATTTTTCTAAAAAACAATAGATCAAAAATATCAGTAATTAAGTAATAGTCAGTCAAATATCAGTTTTTCCCTGAGAAACATCCCGTTTGATGTTTATCTAATATAAAAAGCATAACTCGTATTTCTGCCGGGTATGGCCTACTTTAGAACCATTTTTTTGTCACACCCTGGATATTATTCTCATAATGTGGTTCCTATTTACACACTTTTTCAGTATTTTTTACTATCATTCCGAGAAATATATTTCACGGTTCTTTTTACATTCCTTAGTATTAATAAACGAATGGTTAGGTCACGTCCAAGCAGATAAATATAATTAAATAATATAAACAATTTTTTCAATTAACGGATATTTCAAGATATTTTTTTAAAGTGTTTTGCCCATATAGAAACTAAATTACATAATCAATTCGGTATTCTATCGGTATAATTAAACATTTTATTCAATTTTCATTCAGTTTGTATAAATAAAAGTCTTAATGAATATCAGGATGAGTTGTTCATAAGATCTGTTAAGTAAATATAGATACGGAAATCTAAACGCGGATCATCTAAGCTAAATCTATCAGAGACGAGTGTAAGTGGGAGTGAGGAGGAAACGTAGCGTGCTCCAGGACACAGAATAGGTAATGTGCTGCTCAGTGGTATTTGTTTGTCTTACTCATGGTCATTATATTTTGTTTAATTCATTTGTAAAATAGAGGGCCCGCGATTAGATTTCCGTACCTGTGTATTTTTTAAACAATTTAAATGTTTCGTCCAGTAAAGTTGTACTTCACCAAATACAAACATTGAAATGATACAATTTTTAAAGCTTTCGTAAATGCATGGAGAAGTCTAAAATGTTTATTTAACTCGTGAATAAACTTTCAATTTATTTCTGACGGTTCTTTTGTTTATATTGGCATCACAATATAAAAAATATAATATTAAAAAATATATTTGTAAAATTTCTATTTTTGTATGAATTTAAAAATCTAATTGAAAATAAAGTGTATGTTGTTTTAGTAATATAGTTTTTTTTCAAATTTCCTACCTTGCCTTTTATGTGCATGACATTCTGAAGGCATTGTTTTACTATCCTAAACATGACAATAATAATAATTATTAAAACATTATACTCCCCAAGTCTTATTTGTGTGGTTAAGTCTTAACTCAAAACTGTCAATATAATTTTAATATACAGGGTGGCCAAATAACAGTCCACCTGAAATATTTTCCCAGAAGTTTTTTTTCGAGAAATCCCCGAGACCGATCGATTTTGATTTCAAGGAGGACTTCATTTGATCTTTAATTCATGGATGTAGGTTCATCTTCCTGAACAGAATGGCAACCCCTTCAAAATACTAAATGGCACGAGGGATCTTAAAATTAATGTAAAACACCTGGAGCGGCACTCCGTAACTAAAATATGAGAAAGGCAAGAGATCTTTTCTCTATCCCAACTTCTTTTGACGTTTTTCTACTCTGTAACTCTCTTCGACTACTTACGATTAAACCGAACATGTACGATTGACACTGGGAAAGAGATAGCTAAGACCTCGTCGCTTAGGAATATGTCTCGCTTTAATGTATGGAAGGGGTATAACTCTTTGTTTATATTAAGAACTTGATTTGGCAGTTTTGTTTTGACATTTTAAGTTTACTTTATTTTTATGTGGATTGTCAGTTTGTAATTAATCAATAAACAAATTCTGAACTAAATCTTTATTTAGTCTAAATAATTCTTTGAATCTAACATGAGGAAGGCCGAATGGATCACTTGCATCCCTCATTACCCTTTTAGCAATGCATAGTTCATATTTTTGTTGATCATTTTGGGCTTCTTGCATCACATATCTTATGACAGGATTCATCTTAAAGTTAAAATATAACTATTATATACGAATTACATAAATTATTAACTTGTTTTCATTAAATAAAAGGTGGTATAATCTGAAATCACTTATTTTCTCCACTTACCTTTGAACACAGGGTCTGCTTTGAATTAGTGGTAAATAAAAATATTAAAAAGCAGTCAAAAATGAACTTTGATCCAGAATAATCAATAGCGTAATACTATTTTTAGAAATTCCACGTTCAAAACAAATCCAAATTTATGTTAAAAATTGGGTTTCTTTTTTTATTTAATGTGTCAAATAGAAGTGAAATCAACAGTTTTAGGACGAGTAGTTCGTTATTTTAGACATTTCTCTTCGCGACGGAAAATCCCGATTCACTCCGAATTAAATAAAGAAATTGCTACAGAGTACAAATTTCGATACGGAAAAAAAGAGGAGATTTTTTCTCTTCCCTTTCTCTTTCGTTCTCTTCATTGCAATTTGATACGGAGTGCCACTCCTGCTGTTGGGAGTGTATATGAAATAAATTGAAGAAAAATTTTCCAAACAAGTTTAAATAATCGAATATTCAAATTGTGACCTATTTACTTTCATGCAGTAATAAAGTCTTTGTTCAACATGTTCCCGAACATTTCGGAGCATTTTAGGAGTAATTTCTCCACAAGCTTGCACAATTCGGTAGCGAAAATCTAAAGATGTAGTTTTCGGGTGTTATAAACAACACTTTAAATAACCCCACAATAAAAGTCCAATGGTGATAGATCTGGCGATCTTGTGGGCCATTCAATGAAACCCCTTCTACCAATCCAGCGTTGGGCAAAATGTTGATTTAAGTATCTGCACCATTAGATGTCTTTTGTTTATAATTTTTTTTTGTGTGTCATCTCTCCATAACAACGACGATTTTGCTTTGCATACATGCAGGATATATTAGAGGAATTTTGTTGCGCAGGAAATTCAAATTCTAATAATGAATCAGAAATTGACATGTGGCCCAGTTACCTCACTGTTCCAGTTAACCAATTTGACCTTATACTTTGTGTTTAAATATCATGACAACTTTAAATTTAAACATAACATTTTGCAAACCACCTCTGTTCAATCCATTTGTGTTCAAACCCACCCATTCAAGAAATACTCATTTTCTATCTGACAAATAACAATCTCGTCTCGCTCTAGTACTGTACACACTAAATATATTTTTTCAAAACGTGACGAACGTCATATAAATACGAACCAAACAGTAAATTAAATTGAGGTAGACATAGGTTTGTTCCCGAAGCGAGTTCCTAACATATTAAGTATGTGCAGAACAAAATAACTCTTCCAGCAGAGCAAAGTTCCAAACAAATTGAACTTGTTTGGTGTTTCCGAAAGAATAAAATCTTGTTCATAACATGCTTATTAGTTCAAATAGTTTCTAAATAAAATACGAACTTTTAATTTCGCACAAGAGTGCTTATTATGTTTTTAATTTAATTTTTGGTTAGTTTAGTTAGTGCTATTATCGTTAATTTTGATTAAAATCATATACAGCGTTGTAACAGCAATAAGGGGGTAGGTTTTATTTGAGCAATTTTGAGTTGAGCATTTATTCGGAACTCATTCAGAACATTATTCTGGCCACGCATGCATATCATGTAATGTTAGTAACAAGTCTGGAACTTGCTTCAGAAACAAACCTTTTATTTGCTTTCAGAACCGGCCAGGCACGTCATCAACCTTTTGAGTGGACACGCCTAAGTGCAAAAAGAAGTTGTATATACACAGTTTATATAGTATCTGCTATCAAACGCTTTCCAATACGGTTTATACAATAAGCGCGTGTGAAAACTACAGAGTTAGCATTAGAGCGAGCAGGAATCAAAGAATATCAGCGACGCTAGTTTATACAGTGCGGCCAACGTTACAACACGGACGAACCGTATAAACTGGCAACCTTGCTTCCTTAGGAATTTCCTTATGGGTCAATCCATTTTAACGAAAAACACGCAACACGTCTACCGCAAAAATTCGTGTAAACAAACTACTTGAAAGAACAAGTTTAAACTTATACGAATTCACCTTACCCTCGTAAATGAATATTGCAATATAATAGATTTTTATTAAAAGGAAGATTTACCGTCTACAAAATAAGGGCACCGATCGTCCAACCCTTTATATCTGCTTTTTGAAGCGTTCATTTTAAAACCTTCCGTGAAATGAGCTTTCATCAAAGATTGTATTTCGTGTAAAATTATTTTATTTAAAAAATTGCAAAGCACTTTCGGCCGTTATTCCATCAGAGCTCTACCTGCAAGTAAGTAATAATCTAAATTTGATATAAATGTGAAATTACTTTAAATGAGCACTGTGCATTTTATTTTCACTGGCAAACCTACCATCTATATGTATTGTGACACCATGGTTTTTTTGGCCTTAATAAAAACTTGTAGCCACATATATGAACATAAACATTTCTAACTGTATAATGTTTAATAAATTTGCTGTGGGTGAATAATTAGAGATGTAAAAATATAGACACGTTAAAGTAACAAGTTGTTTAATATTGCAAGAGAAAACGGTTGTACTTAAATACTGTTGACAAGTGTTTATTTTTATAATCACAGAATTAGACTATTCGATGTAAAAACTATGCAACAGAAAAATATAAAAAAACGAGGAATTAACTAAAGTGACTATTTCGACAGCGCTAACAAAAAACTTGTTAATTATTCTTTATTTTTGTATTCACTGTGAAGGAACATGCTAAGTTGTACAACGATGGTAGTCGATCAATAAACAAATATATCACTAAGAGGTACAATATTATTCCTATGGTTACGACTAGGTCGAAAATGGCTGGCTTCACACTAAAAAAAATACCGTTTTTAATGTACATAATGTAATATATAGGGTAACAAAAATTTAATCAAACACTATGGAGATTAAAGTTGGTTAGTGTTTTTAATCTTAAACCAAACGTAATTATATTTTCACAACCCTGTATGTAAGTATTAAAAAAAAATCAAATATCGATAGCTAAGAGGACAAATAATGTATGTCCAAAAATGTTCAAAAGTTTCAAGTGACATTTTTCTTGACACGGAGCAAGCCCTATTAACTAGTTATAAAAAAAAAACGTTATTTTTATTACCTGTAAACATTTACGGTTCCACTTGCTATTTGGTAAAATTGAAAGTCTGGGTCTCTCTTGTCTGGTACGGCGTTGGTTACTCTAACATCCCGCAAATATTTGTTGAATGTGTCTTTAAATGTGGCTACTAATAGATTGTCTTTCGAACTTAATATCTGAGGAGATCTAGGCAGGCTTGCTACGTAATTTATCCAAGTTTCGATATGTTTCTTATCTACGTTCTAAAAATTAAAAACAAAAAAAAGTTGATTCAAAATACTTCCTTTTATAGAGGATATTTTTTTATAATTTCGAGATTAATCTAGTAAAAATATAAATGGGGAGTACTCCTAGGAAATATATAAATATTGAAAAATGTTTGTCTCTTATATGGTCATCTTTTTTTGTGTATTTTCTTACCTATTTAAAATTATAGTTAAAATTAAGAAAGAAAGTAAGGTATTTAAACTTTAAAATGTTTTGTTTCTACTTTGATATGTGGTAATAGTGTAAGGTTGTTTCTACGCTGTACTAGTATGACGTAATTTGTGTGCCAAACAAAGTTATTTATAGACTAAATTGACTTTGTTAGATGAAAATGAAAATATATTTATTGAAATAGGTAACCCTAATATACAAACAATTTTTTTTTGTTACAAAACAACAACTCAAATTCAAAATACAAAAATCAGGAAAAAAAAATTACAATTTATGACTGAACAAAACAGAAAAACAATAAAAGCCCAAAATATAAAAAAAATATATATATAAAAGTTCCAAATACAAAAGTCTAAAATACAAAACATACATATTAATACAATCAAATAAAATTTTGTAAAAGAGATTTGCACATTTAATCTACTTTACACTAATTTCATCAATCATGAACACGTTTTATCATTTTCTTTTTAAAAACTGTTACTGACGAACTAGCTTTAGTACCAAACGGCAATTTATTGTAATGGTCAAAGCATTTAAAAAATAAGGAATTCATTGATTATTTCTGGTAGAGTAGTTATGAATATGATTGTTAAAATTAATATATTCTCGAAAATAATGTGGGGCCAAACCATTTAATATTTTACATACAAACACCATAGTCAAATAGTATGATCTCTGATAAACTGAAATCCATTGCAGTGATCTATGCATGGTAGATATAGGAATATATTTGCTACACCTCAATATAATCCTCATACTACGATTTTGCAGTTTTTGTAACTGTGTTTGGTTTAAGTTGAAAAGGACGATAACCGATGAAAAATAATCAAAATGCGGTTGAATAATTGAGCGATAAACTGTAATTTTAGTTTCAGCTGATAGGTTGTTTGATATTCTTGCAAAGAAGAAAACATTCTTCGATATATTTTTTTAAAATATAATTAAAATGTTCACTAAACAATAAAAAATTATCAAGTTGAAAGCCAAGGTATTTAGTAGAAGTTACAATAACAATTTTCTCATCGTTAATTGTAAGATTAATTGCATTTAAGTCTATATTGTTATATTTATATTTAGTAGTTATTATCATAGCTTTAGTTTTCAATACATTAAATAATTATTGGCAGAGTTTAGAGCCCGATTCATTTTTTGTACCGCATTTTCCAAATTATTATCATAACAAGCCATTAAAGAATCATCTGCAAATATATTTATAAAATCACAATCAACAAAGAGGTTTAAATCATTTATATACAAGATAAATAAAAGTGGCCCCAGAACGCTACCTTGGGGTACACCAATGTTAATATTCTTTTCAGCAGATATATTATTATTAACTTTTACTCTTTGTTTTCTTCCAAATAAGTAATTAGTAGTAAACCAATTCAAAACACAACTATTAATGCCATATCCAGTAAGTTTCGTTAAGATAATATTGTTTCAAATGCTCTCTTTAAGTCTAGAAAAACTGCTACTACATAGTTATTATTGTTTACCTCCGTTTTAAATTTACATAAAGAGAGTTGCAGAGCTGCTTCACAAGAGTGTTTTTTGCGGAATCCAGATTGGTTAATAAATAACATATAATTGTGTCCAATATGAAGAGTTTGTTTATATACAACTGATTCAAGCACTTTTTTTATAGGTGGCAAAGTATTTATAGGTCGGACTTCCGAAGCATTTATTGTATTACTTACTTTAGGAATTTGAACTATTGTACTTATTTTTAGTGAATCTGGTACTGTTGCAGTCTGAAGAGAAGTATTAATTAGATTTAAGATAACATGACCACACATTTCAAATACTTCTTTCAACATTTTGGAATTAAGGATTTCATAAATAGTACATTTATTGTCCAACGACTTTACAATTACTCTCAATTCACTCAATGACAACAACCGAAAATTTGAAAATTGAGGATTTATATATTATAGTTACAGAAATTTCCTATTATTTCAGTAGAAATGCTATCAACTATTTGAGTAATGCTACCCATAAAAAATATATTAAATTTACTTGCAATTTTAGTAACATTATGTTCGATTTGGCGTTCATTGTTTAAATTAAATTCAATAAAATTTGGAAAATTTTGACTGTTGGTATTAATTAACTTTTTAAGAGTTTCCACATTAGTCGAGAATTATTTTTATATCTATCAATTTTACTAAAATAATATTGTTCTTTTTTTATTTTTAGCAAATTTACAACTTCATTCCTCAATTTTTTAAATATGCTCCCCATTTTTCATTTTTATCAGCACCAGAAGTGGTCTGAAATTCTTTATACATTTTATCCCTATCCTTTATTTTATAATGAATGTCATTATCAAACCATGGAACATTACTTTTATACTGACAAACTTGTATATTGTTTATTACCGTTTGACAGTTCTTATAAAGTTCATCGTATTTACATCAGTAGAATTTAAGTTCCAATTACATGATATTAAGTCGAGTTTAATTTTATCTAAGTTTCTATACATTTTAGAACTAAAGGACCCTTTCTTACAACCTTCATATTCAATTCTTTTAATAGATTTGATTAAAATTATAAATTTAATTAAGTTAAAAGTCAATACTATTCAAACTATTTATTTGGTAAAAGCAACTCAGTATATGAAATGAATTTTGAACCATAACAGTCTTAGGAGATAATTTAAACTTATTAGCTTTGAACGAGTAAAGTATCCATAAAAAATCCCAATAATTTTTATTTGAGGGATTTCATATATAAAAAACCGTAGATGTTATAGATGTGGAAATTAGTATTTATTTAGAGTCGCAAAGCATTATAATATTCACGATACAAATAAAACCATTTTATTTTTATTGTATATTTTTTCTTTTACTCCTAAATAGTATACAAATGAATAAAAAAAAAATCAGAACTTACCCAAGAATTTCCAAAAATCTCCCCTGATGGCACATTGTAAATATGCCTGGCTAAAGCCTCAGCAATAATTTTGGCATTCCTCACTAGCCTATCAAAGTCCAAATTCTCCCTCGTATCCATGATTGTATACTTCCTAAAATCTTTGTGGCTTTTGAGAGTGGATAAAGTAAAAGCGGGTAGTCTTCTGATGCTGAATCTTTCGTGTTCCCATCCAAGTATATCATCTGCTAAATTGATTTTTTTGTGTACCCCTTCTACCGAAGCGGCTGGGTGTATAACGCTGGCAGCAGCTTTCAATTCTTTATAGAATATCGATGATGGTGAACCGTCTTTTGGAGGTTTCGAGACATGCATGTATATCGAGTCGTTTGCTGCCAATGTATCTAAACACATGATATAGGATGCTTCCTAGAAAAAATAAAAAATATATATTATTATATAGATAACGAGCCATTGAAAAATAATAATCTGTAAAATTTAAATGTTTTGGGTTGGTACCGTAGCCATTTCCACAGAATTACTTTTTAACCTTGAAATTGAAACTTAACGTTTGTGTAAAGTTTGCCAAAACTTTTATTAAGAAAATTAAATTTAAAAAATGGTATCCAACATTGAGCAAAAACCAAAAATTATCGAATGTTACTTCTATACAGATGAGAAAGTAAATGGCGAATGGCAGTATTTAATTCCAAAATGCATGGCTGATTTTCTTGAAGAACTTCCTGAATTAGGGTCTACAATGGTTTTTACAAATTATGAGCAGTTATTCAGAGGGACTGGCCGAAAAACTGGAAGTGGGCAGCCACCTAAACGTACAGCAGAAAATATTAAAGCCATTTGCCATGTTATTGATGAAGATCCAAAAACATCGATTTCAGTAGTGGCCCAACAAACAAATTTGTCTTATGGCACATGCCAACTCATTCTAAAAAAAAACTTAGCCATGCAATGTTTTGATTAGCTATTTCCAGTGGATTATCGAAGACAGTGGCTCAAAATAATCTAAGAAGTTATCCTTAACACAGTTTTTTCTCAGATGATGCTTGATTTTATCTCTCTGGATAAATTGCAATGAGATACTCAATCCATTCATAAAACAAACTGGTTGATGAGGAATTACAGGATTCCAACTAGATGAAGCAACAGCACATTCGACCAGAGAAACAAAAGTTTTATGTTGTTCCATGACAATTTCCACAAAATGCATAAAACAAGAGATTTAAAATCATTCCAAACAAAATGGCTGCACGTTGTTAATCACGATACACATACTCATGGTATGCTGAATTTCGATTCAAAATTCGTCCAAACCGCGCATGACGTAATGCGGGACGAACTTTCAAATTATTTTGACACTTTTCGATTGAATAGTGTAAAATAATTTAATAATTTATTTGTTTTTGTGTTAGCAGTGACTATATTTTCCTATATATAACAGGGAAGAACTAAATTAATGTTTAAAATGCCGGTCTGTGCGGTGGAGATATTTCCTAATGCCACAAAATATGGGTAAATTCTTATCGAAGAAAGGACAAACTTAATTGAAGTTGCCCTATCCACTTTGAGGAAAGTAGTTGTAAGATTCATCTTAAACATAGACGCAAGAAAAGAAAACTGAATTTCACCAGGTGCACGGGCCTCATTAAGCAAAGAAAGTAAATCGGTATTTTAAAATTTTAGCAAATAAAACGGTAGTTTCCTGTCCCAATACAATGGTTCTTTTGAAGTAATGCCATGCATGAGCAGGTCACGAACATATACAGAGTGGCCCAAAAGTTTGGAAACGGCCAATTATCTCGTAAATTGCTAGTCCTAATTGTACAAAATTTGGGGTACACCTATTTTGGAATACGATGATTTCAGATTTGATATTTGCCTTGTTGCCAGATTTGTCGTTTTTCTTAAATTATTAGTCACTTTGGTTTTTCAAATTCATCACCCTGTATATTCAGTCATTATTGGAATCACCTATTCAATACGAGTTCAACCATATGTAACACTTATGATTTTATGTAGTCTGGAAGGTCTTAAATACATAAATAAGTCTGGCAACGCCTAATTGTCTCAATAAATTTTTTAATACAAACTATTTTCAACTACATTAAAACGTAACAATTGAAAGATTATAATATTTTTAACATAATGGTTACTTTACCACGTGTTTAAAATGTGCTCCATTTGTGAGTTGACAGTACCATAATGGATGGTAGAATGCGTCTACCATATTTCTCCATGATTGTTTTATTTATTTAAGACCTTCCAGACTACATAAAATCATAAGTGTTACATATGGTTGAACTCCTATTGAATAGGAGATTTCAATAATGACTGAATATACAGGGTGATGAATTTGAAAAACCAAAGTGACTAATAATTTAAGAAAAACGGAAAATCTGGAAACATTGCAATTATCAAATCTGGAATCAACGTACCCCAAAATAGGTGTACCCTAAATTTTGTACAATTAGGACTAGCAATTTACGAGATAATTGGCCGTTTCCAGACTTTTGGGCTACTCCGTATAATAATAAGATAAATGAACAGAAAAACTGATTTTGATTATTTTCGAAGTAAACTTGACAAAAAATGTTTAACTTTACCAAATAAAAAGTAATTTTTGTATGTATTTACTTTTTATAAATAAATAATTTGTTTCTGCACACTTATTTTTATTTCACATAAGAAAAGAGATTGCAAGAGAACTACCACGCCCAGAAAGTACAAATTTGAGTCAAACTTGTATTTTTAGTCTATATTTTTTACTTATCTTGTGGCCAGGTTATGGATTTTGTCACAAAATACCTATAATTTATGAGAAAAATTAATATTTTTAACCGACTTCAAAAAAGGAGGAGGTTATCAATTCGTCGCGATATTTATTACTATTATTTACCTTAAACCTTCATATTTGTAAACGAATATATTACAAAATAACCAATAAAGCTTAAGTACTGCATAAAATCTAAAATTGGCAAATATATGAATTTTAAACACTATCTTCCATTTAACGCTTATATTTCTATGTCCCACGTGACGTCATCGTCAGTCAGCTGCTTGCGCAGGAACATACCGTTAGTCTGTGTATCGTGATTGTTAATGATATGGCAACCTTGTGGGCTTGGTTCACATACTTTGATTTTCTTTTACTATACGGAGAATGGTCGCACTGCGCAGCTTTCTGAGTGCCTTTTAAAAGGAGATAGAAAACTCCGCCATTTTGAACCCTTATTACGTGTTGCCTACATCTTGGCGCAATATTTTTAATAGGTGCGTTTTAATCATCCGCTTCTGCTTCGGAATTGTCGGTTTTCTTGTTTTAATCTGACAGGTTAAAACGACTAAACCGACAATTCCTGAAGCAGAAGCGGATGATTAAAACGCACCTGATATTTTGCTTGCTGCTGTCAGTGTCAGTGAATATTATTTTTGAAGTCACAGTTTATTGCTAAAGAATCAGTTAGCTTACTCGGACCAGTTGAAAGTTCCAAAATAACATCCACTCCAGGGATACAAATTCAGGATACGCAGAAGACTGCTGTTTTATTATAGGCGGTTGTCATATATTGTATTATCCGAGTTGAACAGTGTATAAACTGAAACATTGAGATCAAAAGTGCCGACGCAGAGTGAGCGATCTGATTCTTTAGCTGTAAACTGTGTCACAGGGTTCAAAATGGCCGCGCCCTATGTTGGGCGTGTCGGACCTCTCTCTTGCCTCGTATAGTAATCAAAGTATGTGGCCTGGTTATTTAACAGTGTCAATGATACATATTATTATATAGATCGATTATCTATATTTTTCAAAATAAACATAAGCTTGTAAAAATGTAGGTAATTTTTTTAATAAATAGAGCCGAGCACGTGAACAAATACAAGGAAAGATGTTGAAGTTTTGGAGGAAAATGAATCTCAATATTTAAAGATTCTTAATTACCAGAGTCATTTAGAAAGATATTTCTGAAAAAGTTAAAACACAATTTTTGAATAGCTAAGAGAAATCGAAATATATCAAAATTATTTTTATAAATTTAAACTCCAAACTTTTTTTACTGTTTTATTGAATTTATTTTTAACCTTAAATGTCTCACCTGTATTATACTACCATCTACAGAATCAAGCTGGTCTTCTAACCATTTTTTACTACCTTGGTAGTTAAGTTTACCACCACCCGTCAACGCAAATACCAGATTATACCTCCCTCTGGTTTTTTGTTCTGCATATAGACCAGAAAACAACCTCAGCAATTCCAAAAGTATGACCACTCCTGAGCCATTTGAATCAGCTCCAAAGGCTAATTCCTTAAAAAAACATTTTTAGATTAAAAATATGTATATTCTGGTTTATTCTGAAAATAGCACCTAATTTTGGCGTATCATACCACTTAAATTAGGATTAAACAGACAAAGGCTTAGGCCGGTATTTATAAAACGATTTCAGCTGAGAGTCGAACTTTCTCGAACGAAAATCGAAGTTCGTTTGTAACTTTTCTATAGTTCCAAGTGGTTCTGATGGTGCACTGGAATTTAGAGATGGACAGTAGCAAATCTCTAAATTAACGCGATATAACCGAACTTCGATTTTCGTTCAGTTGAGTCGGACTCGCCTGAGATCTGTTTATAAATACGGAGCTTACTATTAAAGTTATCTTTTAAATATTAAAAATTTTAAAAACTAGGTCAAAACATAAAGAGAAATTCACAAAAAAATGTTTCTAAGAAATATATCCGAACTGGTACTCAAAAAGAAAATGAATCTTCGAAAATTCGAAAAAATAATGAAAATTTTGAACTGAGTTTTAAACATCAAACAACAAAAATTAAATTGTATTTCTTTGGGCTTGAAAGGAATTAGTTATATTTATTTTTTTATGGTTATGGGTGGGTTTTTTTCCGGGGTTTTCTCATCTATAAGTCAAATGACACTCACTATCTGTAAGTCGCCTCGGAACGCAATGACTATGAAGACTAGATATTAGGAGGGGAATCGGCATACTCGAAATACGGTCCCAAAAAACGAACGCTAATTGAGCTTTTTTATCCACCGCAAGGGCACTGGTGTTGCTAGCGCTATTCAAAATACATGGCTTCTTATGTAAATGTTACATAATTTTGCCAAAAAAAGTTGTTTATTGCCAAATAAAGCACATAATATACTGTTGTATCTATTTCTAAATAAGTCGTCGCATGTTTTAATAGTTAAATTATTTAAATTGTATCTATATAAAATGCAAATTAGGTAGGTATTACCACAGAAGAAAGAACAATACAGAAAAGAAAGTAATGGTCGGAACTTTGAAGTTGAAGGAATAGAAATATTTGACCTTCAGTTCCACCACAGAGATATTCTAAGAAAACGTAATTATTCACAGTACACGCAAACGTAGCTATTCACTGAACCTACACTGCGAAAACTACATTTCTCTTTTACATAATTATGTGTCATATTTTATGAAAATTTGCATGAATACATTTGAAACTATTCTCGATTTAAGTAAATTATTTTTTGAGTTGTAGCACTTCCGACAGAAGTTTCAAAAATAAAAATTATAAAGTTTTAAACAATAATTTATTTTACCCTGTTATAATGAACTATTAATATTGTGCCACAAATCTCACTAGTCATTTATGATCCATAAGTATAAATCAATTGAGATCATTTTTAAAAAATCATTAGCTAAAGCGTATTTTAGGATTCAAAAAAAAAAAAAAAGAAATAAAAAAAACGTTTATTTATGCAATTGATAAGTTAACAATCTAGTGCATGTATTTTATTAAAATATAATTTGGTTGAAAATTAAAATAAATAAAATTGTTTATAGAAATTTATAGAGCAAACCTAATTTATAATACATAGATAAGTGCTTTAATAAACAGCTATATCCTAATATACAACAAAAATATAGAATAATTATATAAACGGTACTTATAAAAAATATTAAATAATGAGTAATTATTTTTCTTCTTTTTGCACCAAACAAACGTTGCTATCTTCAGTCGCAATCTCTGCTTTTTTGGAGTGTTTGATGATAACACACTACTCGTTTGAATTTGTGCTGTTACACGAGGTAGAGGAACAGATGGTTGACTATGCACTTGTTCAATAAATGAACAACAAATTCCTCTAAAAAAAGAAAGAGAAACCAAATTTTTATCAGATCAACTAGTGTCAAGAAGGTGCATCATTTGTCAGAAATGTTTGAGTCACACTTTTTAGCCAGATGAAATTTAAAATAATTTTATAAAATGTGAATATATTTCTGTGCCTAGGAGGTAAACTGCACTGTCATTCTAGTCAACTTTTTTAGTACAGCAGATTGAATGTTGTTAAATTATTAAATTTTAACTAGATATGCATTTAGGACATCCATTTGTATTTTTTAGTAACCTAACTAATAAAACTACTTTATTTTAATTTGCATAAGTTGTTGTATGTCGACATAGTGCAGTTTACCTCCGAAGTAGTTCTACAAAATGGAATGTATGGGTTGATATTCTAAGATTATTAGTACTTATCATTTTATTTTTTAAACTACTAAATGTAATGTAAAAAAATTACAAGAAAGACGAGTAGCAAAAATGTTGTAACATTTAACTATAAATTATATTTATTTACCTTGGCTCTTTTCGTAGGTTCTGAATGAGGAAATACTGTTGGGAATGCATTTGCAAATAATCGTTTTCTTGTTCCTGACTGATAAACGAATTTATCCTCGAAGTGCAGTTCACAAATTTTGTAATTTTTACTTAAGTGTTCAACGCTCTTTCCCAATAAGTTCTCTCTATTTGCTGCCTTAAGCCACAATTCAAGTCTGAAAAATACATACATTGCACTACCATGTTATGGCAAGGTCAATTCCTATTTCACCCTCAATGTTTCATACATACTTCACTGGATCTTTCACAAGAGTGAACAATCCTTCTTTGCCACCTGTTCTTGAGGTACATCCACGATAAATACAAGTATATCTTCCTCCTCTTTGACGCGGCATTGTTTATAAACCTTAATCTAAATACGTACAATAAAGTCTTAAATTAACAACTCCACAATTAAAAACATCAACAAAAACTTAAAATAAACCATTAAAAAAACGTAAAAGTTATCAGAATATTCGCTAAAAACAACCAAAAATCCAAAACAACAAATAAAGATACGACAAGAAAAAATATTGATTTTCTAACAGCGACAGCAGTGACAGCTTTGTTTATTTGCTATAAAAGTGTGCACTGTTACACTTTGAACAAGTAACAAATCTATGGTTCAATTTTGACAATGCTCCACCATAAGGAAGGTGTGGCTTCGGTTGCTAGGTTCCTGTTTTAGCCCTATGTTTCTTTTCTGTATTGTTCTTTATCCTGTGGTATTACTAAATTCGAGGTTTGTTATGGTGAAATTTGGTACAATTTTGTGTCTAAATTTTTTTGAATTATACCTAAATATAATTTTAAGACCAAAATAAAACACAGTTAACAGATTTTTTATTGTTATAATACAAGCATAAATGGAGATTTGGAAATGTACATGATATTGCCTCAGCCTTAAACTATTGATTTCCCCTGTTTATTTTGCTAACAGTAACATCAGTAAAAAGAATCATAATATTTGGAAATATCTTTTAAAAAGTGTAGAACAGCATCATCTCAAGAAAGTGCTTTATCAGCCCTAGGAACGATATAATACATATAAGCTGTCACTGTTCTAAGCGTTTAGGATTCTATAAAAAACATTTACAATGACAAAATTGGGGTTCAACAAAAAAAATTACAGTAGGAACTCTTTATCTAACATTAAAACTCTATAAAAAAACAAATTTTCTTTTCTAGTAAGTTGAATTTAATGTTTGTAAGTCAGGATCTATGACTGTAAAATTTTATACTATAGAAACTTTTAATAAAATAAACTACACTCTGTAAGATACGTGTTGTGACTAGTTTACAATAAATATTATATTTAGACATAAATACATTATTTTACTTACATTAGAAGCTTTAAAAAGGCATTGAATTGCTTTCTCCTTGTGTTTTCTTTAGTTTTACATCTGATTTGTACCCTGTTTTACAATCTGGAACGAAGTAAATCTTGCTTTGATGTTTTTTGTCACTCATGTTACTTGTACTCAGGTACTTTTTTTCACAATATTTTGATTCTTTTTACCAATTTTTTAAAAAATCACTTAATTTTACATTGACTTACATAGAAAATGAACGGCAGTGGCGTTCGACCTGCCAACTACAGTCAATTTGGCGAACTTTATAAAAAGGACGGAAATTTGACCATTGCCGATTCGCCTCCTTCTCTCTAGTCTTCATAGCCATGACCAAATAATAATAATAGTCATCCCTCCCTGACACAAACTCTGCTTTCAGAACTTTAAGGGTCACTCGTAAAAGGTTAAATTATAAGAAGATAATTATTATAGAGTGAAGTATAAATATT